CATAATTTCGTTGTATCGATGCACATGGTCAGCACTTCGAATATGTTCCATAAAATTAATAGGATGAACGAATTGAAATATCTCGAAAACGGTGAGTTTTAGGATAAATGTATCTTAACACTTTCATACGTTACTTAGAATTGGATATTCTATCGAAATCAAGCATACAAAATTGGACATTCCAATAAAGAAAACTAATTTAATCTTTATATTTCCTTTACACGTCCACCTGTCAAGAAACCTTTGTTACCATATTATGTATTTCTTTAAATCTTAGAACTATCATTCGTTACACTTTCACATATTGTTTGAAATAACGAACATATTCCAGGTGGACAGAGTCCGTTGGACACACTACTGTAAACCTTTCAGATTTCCGCGAACAAATAATTCCTTACAATTTTACCAATACCCTGCCTGTTATCTTCGAAAACTGAATGCATCGTACGACGAATCCTTCTGTCGACGAAATAAATTAGTAAATTATTTGCTCGTAAATACAATGAACAATATTTTCCTATTCGCAGAAATAAAGAAAAATACTGACTTCATTTAACAATGGATTTATAAATGTTTTTCAATGATCGGTGATGAATCTTATTGGAAATTTCATTCATTCATTCCAAAAAGCATTTGATGGTAAATGTGTTGCAGGAAAAAGGGATTTCGATGAGGTAACTGTATATACTAGAAGTTGTATCATTACTACGATCCAGCATGCCATCGCGAGATTTTCTCGTAATAGTTAAAGAGATTTTCTTTCCAACCGAAACGAGTTAGGAAGAGGCTTCGAAATTCAATAATGCCTACATAGATGTGTGTTGCCCCGTCATTTACTACTGCTGTAACGCAATGGAACTGTAGATATATAAAATCTTAACTCCTATTGTATTTCCAGTAAAATAATTATTATGATTAGTTGAGCTTAACAAATATCAACTGCATGCACGGAGCAACATGTACTTGAATAAAAAAAAATCGTATGCATAATTACTCCCCCATCATTTTTCTTATATTTAAACCGCGACTGTTTATGAACTTTGTTTTCTTTTTTAATTTTCATAATTTCTAAATATGTATTTGTTTGCCTCGGCAATCATTACTTCATCATTGTAATACCACGTTAATAAATTGATAGAACTATTTTATTATTGTAATTTCATCTTCCCTCGCGTTGCTGCCATTGAGTTCCTGTTACATAACGCTACCGCAACGGTCACACGAAGGAAGACCAACGAAAGGTCGTGCGTATCCGCACTGGACGTGTAATTTTCTTGTACCTGAAGTTTGTTTCGACCAATGAACTTTCTTTTTCATTTCATTGTATCGTTATGCACCGACCTGCACCGAATCCGGTATGTCCAGTTCACGTTGAACGGAGAAAGTTCGATTTGAATGCACGTTCGTGATATAAACTGAGAGATAAAACAATTTTTTGTGCTTTTTTTACATCGAGTTCGTTTACGTGGAAAATACCTAATTCAGAAAATTCATTTGGGTCGCGATCGTCTTAACTGGTGATTATTAGTCTGCGTGCATATATTGTACGTTAATTGTAGATCGATTCTTAATTTCCTACGTGAAAAAGGTAAATTAACTTGACGATTCTTATATTAAGAGTATTGCACTTTAGAGTCCCAAAACGTGTCTTGCCTAATTCATCAGATTCCGCCTCAAAAGATTACCATTTTCTTCATAAAACATATAATAAAATATTTCCAAGTATAGTTCCATTTTCAACATAAACTGGAATCAATTAAAGAAAGTCATATTGAGTTCATTGAGGTTAAAAATAAATAACCAGTTTATAAATAGGAGAAACATGTGTACAGATTTTTTTTAGAATGTTCAGATTCATAATTTGGTTGTTTTCAATGGCTTAATGGATATGAAAGTATGTCAGTAGTTATTTGGTTCAGTAGAACGAATATCGTGATTAATGTTTTTTGCCTTCAGGGTTATGTATTGTACTTAAAAAAAATAATGAGCTGGAAGGTACACAAAAATAAACGAAACAGCGTGTAGATACCTAGCATGGAGTTTCCTTTCGTGCGGAAAATTGAAGGAAGTGACGAGAGCAAATCTTCGTCAACTTGGAAGGCAACAACCCTAACACTTCTCTGAATTATTAAACGAATATGATTTACTTGTAATTCAGAGGATTCTTCATGAACATTCATCAACAGTTTTCCATCAAACTGTGGTACATAGAACAACATTCGAAGGGTCTTTTAACTATAATAATTCAACTAGATCCTTACTAAAAGTTTCATACTACCTAAAACTAAACCATATTTATACCTAATCATACTCTATTACCATATTTTCACTTAACCCAGACCATATTTTTTTCATGGCTAGACTGTGGATTTTATGTATTTATAGCGTACACACGATTCTTTAAAACATAGTGTATTGAAAAGGTTAAACATTTTTACGGTTATTATTTCATTTGGAATCTGATGCAACTCTTAATAGAGCAAATAAATTTCCTATTGGCTTCACATTCTGTAGATTATATCATAAAATTCTATATTTACATAAATATTCGAAGTCTAGTCATAACCATAATCAACTACTTTTCCCTAATTAAAAACATTCGCGGTCCGGTCAATGTTTTCAATACAAATACATATACCTACGGATTACTTTCACGAACGAGCTGTATACCCTCAGGTGGCAATCCGATCCGCAAGAAAAACTTTTAAAGACATAAAACACAATCACCGTAACGAGACGAATAATAAAAGAACCATATTTCCTGAAACTCAAGTTTCGTCTAAATAGTGCCATCTCGAAAAGTCACGATTTCGCAGGCTGCTATCTCTGCAAATATGCTCTCTGTGAATTACAATGGATATTTAATCAGGCCTCTACTCGTTGCCTCGACTGTATTTGACCACGCATTTTTTAAACTTCGCTATACAACGGTGCAATGTGACGGTACTGATTTCTTAAATAATTACTTTGCTAATAGATTATCATCCGAAGAAGACAACGACGACTAATCAGGTGAGTTTTACTAACGACGATATTTCAAACTTTGCGCTTAGTTTTTATAACTTTCCTATCGTCTCCAGGGTAAATAATTATACATATTGGATTCCTTAGGACCTGTAGAAACATATCCTCTAAAAAGCTTTCGTTGCCACCAGGTCAATATTGGCCAATTTCTACCATTGTCCTTTCATCCCCGTGCGAGCACGTTCACCGAAAATGTCTGAATCTTTACGTAACTGTCGAACGTATGAACATGAACGGTGTACCCGCGTGAAAGCCGGCGCGAACGGAACGATCGAAGTCGACTGGGGCCAAAGAAAGTCGTGCCTCGGCAAAAATCCGTTCTATTTTTACGAGAAGACACAACACAACGTTCACGGATCATCTATACCGGCGTGTCTGTCGCGGCTTGCCGGAACTGGTCGGAACGCAGTTGTTTCGCCTGTCGCGATTACGAATCCCCCTGCCCTTCCCGCCCCGCCCTCCTCGACAACCCCCAAATATACTCCGCCGCGTAGAACATCGATCCCTAGGGGGTAAGATATTACGTTTGTGGGAAAATTCTCGGGGATCTTACTGACCTTGAGTTTGTCGTAGGTTGTGTCGAGCTCCAGACGGTGCACGAACGGGTTCAGGATGTCAGCGCCGAGGGATGCTGCGTCCACGTCCTCATGTTTGTTCCGCATTTTGCCGTTCACCTCATCCATGTCACTTGAGGCCGTTTAGAAGGAGAGAAAGAGACAGAGAGAACACGACAGAGAAACGGGGGAAAATAAGACGAGAATCGGCGAGGCGGTTTAACGGCTCGTAGCAACTGTCACACACCGATAGTCGCGTAAAACGTCGATACGAAATAGCAGGTGCGAACGTTCCGACGATGTGTTCGCGTGCCCTGGCACTGTTGGTGTATTTTACACGCAGTCGAGAGGATTTTGTGGTAGACAGGGTATTAAAGAGAAAGGGAAGTTTATGATTAGTCGCGACGACACATCCTCGCGCACGAAAGGGTTGTTGGTCAACGGTATACTGTGCCGCTCGCGGCCCGTTCGACCGAACGAACCGGCCGAACGTTCTTCCGACCGTTACCGAACCCTACCGAACGCACGGGGATACTGTCCGATGCGTGCGCACCACGTCTAGTCTTGTCGAAAGTTTGCTCGACTATCCTCACCGGACTGCCCCTGTGGATACCGTGCGTGATACACGTCACCAGGGCCGTACCATTCCATTCCCATGCCCCTCCTTTGCACTTTGTTGTCACGTAGGTATAATCGGTGATCTGTTTAATACTCCTTAAATTTGCTGCTCTACAATTTTCTGGAATTATGATTTTATGTAAAGTGTATTGTAATGATACTTTGAACAATCAAATGTACCTAACTTCTACTCGTTTAATTATTATGGATCAAGGTAGGACGATAAAGCGGCAGCTTTCACTGATTATTGTTAAACTTTAAAGAAACGACGAATAATATTCTTATCGTAAATGTATATACATATATAGCGACAGGTTTCAAACATACGCAAAATATTTACGGTTACATTCCACGGGGTGTAGTAATAGTGTTTATTGAAATACGTAGATTGAATATAATTTCTTACAGTGCTTAAAGAAACGTTAATTAAATAGAGCGAAACAAATTTTACGTACTAATTATTTTTTAATTTAAATTCCTAAAGCCGTTCTTATTAGAGCGTATTAGGAAATGCAAGCGTGTGTAATGTAACGTTCTTTCATGCACAACGTATTAAACAATATTTAACAAATTGCATATGAAATGTTTATAACTCTACCATCTTTTATTTGTAAAATACAAGAGAATAAGACGTTTTTATTTGGTGTTCGTGAACAAGTTAATTCAATAAATTCTTACCAAAGTCGTATAATCAGATATAAGTACAAATGGGTCCCTTTCAGCGACGCTTGTGTGAACCAGCGCACTCTAGTTTCTACAAACGAAAACACGTGGTATCAAGAAATTACGTATAACCTACAAGTCATGTCAAAAGAACTGCACAAATGTCTGATTAATTATTTCTCACAGCTCGAGAAAGTAGATTGCAAATGGAGGGAATTATCTGAAGAAGCCAAACGACCATTGCACGCATTAAGAAATCAGTCAGAACAACTTCGACTCGTCACAAGGTAAAGTCAGCTTTCCCCTTTTTTCATCGAATTTATTGTCGCTCTAGATGCTTCACGATGGAGTTTCTAGAGTTGAGACTATAGGACATATATGGTCGGTACGAAGGAATGTTCGTTGAACTACGGACAGGTGTCGTTGTGTTACAGTAAGGAGGTCAATAATGCAGAACTCTGTAAAATAGACGGGGTCTACGAAAGACTGATTTACAAAATTCTTATGGGGATCGACAATGAACTTACATTGCTTTTGGACGTTTTGAAGCGTTTCAATAATGCCAATCAAGTAAATAACATTATGTTTGTTAAAAATATTTGATGTATTTAGTTACTCTTCATTAATCATTTAAATATACAAAGAAACCGTAATATTAAGGTATGTTTATATTATTTTGTAACAATTACGGGATAATGTTATCGAATAAATTATTATTATAGGATTTAAGGAATCGTTTAAAAAAATTGGAATATGTTCGAAGTAAGGTTTCATTGAGCGATGAGACGATGCAGGAGTTAATCAATGGAACTCCTTATAGGCCGAAACTGAATTCGCTTTTAGAATGGGCCATTAACGGTTTGGACTATTATCACGATTTGTATCCTTCAATAGTAATTCGTTGTAGATACTGATAAAGGAATAGATAGGATCAGGTGTTGAATTATCAAACCCTTTATTTTATTAACACCACTCTATTGTAACGATACGTCGAGCGTCTTTTACAGCGGAATCGCGAATTGTACCAAATACAATGCGCGGCCGCTATAATAGTGTTAGTCAGTCTTCTAATAATTTGACTTAACTCAAATAACATTCAGGTATCGTAATATCAACGAAAACATAAAACAATATGATTATAAACGCGTGGAAACGATAGAAAATTTAACGAAGTCGTTTATTGAGGACAGATTCAAAAGACTGCGGATCGATCGTAAGTACTTATCCTTAATTAGAATTCTAGTCAATTAGCATTTTTATCGCTAATTTACATTATATATTTCAGATATACTTGGTTTTACACAGTTCCTAATAAAAGAGACTGTTCGTTGATGAATTTCATAAATTAAATTGTATTTACAACATTTTCCAAACGCTGTATTTCGTACAAAAAATTATAAAATAAAAACATTTTTACCATTCACTCTTCTCATTCCTCTTTCCATATAATTTGTAATTACTGAATTTGTTATTACTGAAAGATTACAATGTAATATGGACGATACTTAATAAAATAAAAAATTCATAACACAATTCCTGGAACGTTAGAAACACCCCGCGTGTGCAGTCCCGAAGCGGAAACTCTGAAATGGTGTGTTGTTCTACTTGTCCGACTAAAGACGAGCGTATCTACTGACACGGGGAATAAGCCGCGCTCTTGTCAGCAACTGACAACAATAAACGAGCACCGGAGCATCAGTAATGCGAGCCAATAATTAAGGATTTCTAATCAAGCATTATTGTACAGAGGCGTTTAATTAAAACTCGAGATCTGTTCTGTTTCATTTATAGAATGAACGATGGAAAGTTTGTTCGCGACAAATAACATCATAGCACCAGTAGGGGAACTAATCAAATGTCATTTGCGTTTGATCAGAAAGTACGGTTACTTAATGACAAACGAAATAATCGAAGAATAGATTTTAATCTAGTTCAGGAGCTTAAATATTCCTCCTATGTTCGTCGACGTAAAAGCACGTTACTTAATTGAAATGAGCGTTAATACGGAACGACATTAACGGTGATTGCATTATTGTCACCGACACTTTGCCTCCTTCACCTCAATTATCCAAAACGTGAATAGCCGTTAATTGATGGAAACAACCACTTATCGAGGAACGATTCTCTTCGTGTAACACGCTCGACGCTAATATAGGGAAATAGGCGAGTGCATTGTCCTAAATATTTTTACGTCACACCATATTTAGACACGTTCTTCTATATATAGACTGTAAGAATATACCTTGCTCTCTATCGATTCACTTTTCGGAAAGGTCAAACGCTTCTCCTTAATCTTTCACAATATACTCGTAGAGATAATTTCTACTGTAAGTCATACTTTTTACATAACGAAGTCACCGAAAAAAGTGCACTTCCTTATTGGACTCTCGCCATTCTGTTATTTTTTAAGATAAATTATTTACTGTGCTTCCTGCAACAGCGGCACTCGTACTAATTAAGAATCTTCTTAAATTTTTTCTTTCAGATGATACCTTTCCCCGAGATGTCACATTCATCCCCAGAAAAAAAACTCAAAACAAAATATAATAACATTATTTCCATAATATTTTTATATTTTTATAAATAGTTCAATAAATACTAGAAACATGTGTTCCATTACATATTGCATTCACCCAGGATGAGATTATTAAAGGTAACTTAAAGGAAATACAGTCCAGTGGAATTTTGGAGGCCGTCAATACGGAACACCCCCTCGAATTTATAACAGACCTTCATTCAGAGTTGGACGAACTAATTATCTAGTTAAAAAATTTCGAATAACGAATAAAAGATAAAAAAAAAAGGATTTCGTCATTTTTAATCGTTTAAACGTGGAATTTCAATTTTTATAATAAAATAATACTTCTTTATGAATGAATCGACATTTGTCGAACAATTATTTAATCTCATTAATTGTTTAAATCTCAGAACGACACCCTTAGATATGCTGCTTTTCACTGTGTATTATTCGAATAAAATTCTGCCCAACTCTGCCTTCATTTTTCGTGTTACAATTCTCATATTCAAGGCTACAGATCAGACATTCTCCTCACACTTTTATTAGCGGTGCAATATTGTCGCCAAACGATATTAAAGATTTGTCGTGCGTTCTTACTCTCGGCCCACCGATCATCGACCAATCTCTCGATAAAAAACGGGGGTTCACGTAGTATATTCCGGTCTGTAGGACACGATGGCATTCGGGCGCCGGCGCCCGCTATTGATTCCGTCGAATATCGTGATTTCGAAAGTTACCATCCTAGTAGAGGGTGCCACAGTAGCAAACTGCTCCTCGTACCATAAGGAGGCCCTCGCGCTTTTCTTTGTCTCGCCCCAACAGGTCAGTGACGAGCTTGAAACGATAAATCGTGACAAAAAGAACGACATCCCTTTTCACGTTATTCCGCTGCCGTGTCACGCGAATCAATCTGGGACCATTATTCGATACCGTCGTCGCGAGCTTCCTGTCTCCTTTATTTGAATCATCATCATCCCCTGGACCACCAAATGCAACCACGTTAAAGCTCACCTGTACGAGTTCACGATTCGAGAACAGTATTCCGAATGTTTGCAAAATATTCCGAGGGATTTCGAGTTTTTTTTTTCTTCCTCGAGAAAGTTTCGCGACGATAGAAAAAATGACACTTTGATTGGTGCGCTCGTGACGTCAATGGTCACAGTGGTTATATAGTACGTGTCACTCGTGTTAAATAGCCGCCCTATACGTGTATCTTGTGGATTAAATGACGAACTTTTGCTAAATTTCGTTGGATTTCGAATGACTTCGTAAAAGTGCACTTTTCTGTTAACCGTGTGCCTGTTTTTTTTTTACCAGTCACGATCAATTTTTTCTTAATTGTATGACTTGTAGATAGCGTGGGCGTAAAGAATATCACGGTGACAGTTTGTGTTATGGATAGTGTTAAAGGGAAGTAAACAATTTTGGGGGGATTCGAGTTACGATGTGATTACGTTCGCGGAATATTGTAGGATTTTTTATTTGCTCTCGACGTGTGGCCACGTACGAGGTCAGGGACGACGTGGTAAAGATGAAAGGCAAACATCTCTCTACCCTCCTCTGGTGGCTGTACCTATCGATGAAAAAAAAAGCGAGGGTGCCAAGTTCTTCGAGTAGAATTGTAGATATTTCTGTCAAGTGCTTTCCCTTGGCGAAAAAGAGGGTTCGTGGGGGCCATCGGTCATCGACAGAATTGTTTCATTACCCATTGTTTACGTCGAATCTTCTTGTTTCCAAAGATTTTCCTCCTAACATTCATCCTTAAATAATCATATAAGAAATATCTATAAATTCATCGAAATTATATTCGCCTAAATATCTTGCGGTGTAAAAAATATATTGACAATGATAATTATATTTCGGAAATGTATAATCTAAAAATTCAATTAAAGTGATAATAGAACTCGTGTTGTCTATACTGTTTTTGAATCGTTTTTTTTTCCCCTGCAAATTCAGAGAATTTCGGTCGGTGCACACGTGAAAGAGAATAGGGGTTGCGAGTGTAACGTACCGAAGTCATGCAACGTAATCTGAAAATGTTTGATGCGAATAGAATCAGAGTTATTTTCACATGATTAGTCATAAATTAATTTAGTTCTGGGCCAGAAATTAGTTTTAAAATTAACTTACAATAGCTTGACGTATTGAAGCTCAAACTTGTTGTTAAACTAATTTTATGCAATGTTGCGTTGAGTTATCTTTTAATGTTAAATTTTGTCTATTATCTTATTACCACTTGAATTAAGTTGTAATCGAGTAGAGAAACTATGTTCACCAACCATTTGGTTGTAATGTACATTAACAGTGGATCTAAAATTAATTCACAAATTGTTTTTTCTAATGGAATGTATAATTAAGACTGAAAAATTCGACACGCGGCAAATTGATCTGAACGGTGGTACGGGGTATTAAACGGTTACGTAAATTTGAAATTTAATCGTTACAAGTGTGCAATAGAAATCAGTTCAATCATTTCTCGAAACTGTTAAATTATAGAAATGACAATTTCTTTTCGATCTAGAAACGCGATTGTCTGTTCTCTTTTGTAGTTGTTAAAAAGTGTATCGTGTCTTCATAGGAGTTTATGTACGTTTTGCACGAATGAATACATTCTCTTTGGAATAATAAAAATATTATTCTCGGCAGGATGGAGTCTATAGGCGCGTGTAGCATTTCTGTTTGATCCCCGCGAAGAAAGAAGTCCGTAGTAGCAATACAGACTGACACAATGGCGAACACGGCCCACCTCGTACGCCGGCAAAGCTCGCGCGACTTGAAGCCCCAAAAAAGCATCGACAAACTCGAAATGAAGGAGATGAGGGGAAGATTAATGGTGGAAAACAGGAAAAATGTCACCACTGTCAATTATGGTGCCACAAACGCAGCCTTTGAAGACTCCAGTCCTAATACGAAGGTATGTCATATAAATTTAACAGATTAATTAGATTCATCTTTCTATTCGAAAATTCGTTTAAATCAATTTAACGTTCCATGACCCCCCTGGGTCTTTTACAACACAAGCGAAATTGTACCCATAAATATCTCCCAAAACAAAGGGATTGTTATTAGAAAAAAAACTTTTAACATTCAACTTTAAAAATTATTGGGGGAGTGGGGGTGACGGAAGCTGTCAAAATAACGGGGGTCACGGAGAGTTAAGGTACAAACAAGTTCTTCTTTTGTGCATTAATTTCCTGAAATTTTTTCGCTTTTTTATTGTGCTAATTGTGGCCTGAAAATTATTCTATATAGGGTGCGTCATTTAAATCGACCCCTTTCGAGATCTTCGAACTGTTGATAATGTCGAAAAATGTTTCACATAAAGGTTTAATGGTTTCGAGGGGGCAATAGCTTGGTATAAGTTACTTTATTGTTGGTGGATGCTTAGAGTATGCATGTAGGTCACATTAATTTTTTTAAAGGGCGTACGAATATTTTTATCTGGCACTGTACGTTTGTAGGAAAGCTTCCATCAAGTCGTAGGTTGTCATATTTTTTTCCATTGGAACACTCTGTACAGTTATCTGTATTTTAAAGAGGATGTAATATCAATTATCGAAATTGAGTCGTGCTGTTTCGATTATGGTCGTGGATATTTCCTTTTATCGCAGGGTAAAGCAGGAAACGGGGGCGGGGGCAGTAAGCTCGGCAGTAACGAGGGGAAAACAATTTTTCGACCGGAAGCAGGGGAGGACGAGCGGGAAAACTGGGATAGCAAACTAACGTTTCTATTAGCCACCGTTGGTTACGCGGTGGGACTGGGAAATGTGTGGAGATTTCCATATCTCGCTCAAAAGAATGGTGGAGGTACGTTATAAAATAATTATATATTTACTTCCTGTAGATAAAACTTGTTATTCAACTTTTTATTAATGAATGTACTAAGTGTAAATTATGAATTATTTATTGGTTGTTTAATAATTTTAAAAACGCAGGTGCATTTTTAATTCCGTACCTCGTAATGCTGGCTATCGAGGGCATTCCCATATTTTACCTGGAACTGGCAATTGGCCAAAGATTACGGAAGGGTGCTATCGGTGTGTGGAATCAGGTGATCATTTGATAAAACAAAATATAGCAGCGAACAATCAAAACATCTATTCAAATGTATTGACAAGTTATTCAATGTTTTTATCAAAGGTCTCTCCGTATGTGGGCGGTATAGGAATAAGCAGTGCCGTGGTTTCCTTTAACGTAGCTCTGTATTACAACACTATTATCGCCTGGTGCCTCTTCTACTTCGTTCAAGTAAGTAAATAATGTAAATGTTTATCAATTAAATCCAAATAACTTTAAAAATGTTACGTAAAACTTTAATTTTCAAAGATCAATCTCATTTCACGGTCATGTTATTATTATATATCTGAATGTATTTTTCGATCAGCTACACGATGCAATAAAAAAAAATATAGTTATGTGTCAAAAAACACCGATGACCTATTTTTTTTTTAACATCATTGTTGTAATTATTCTTGGAACATTAATTGTTACTAATTATAACGAGTAAATTTTTTCCTTGACAGAGTTTTCAATCGCAGTTACCGTGGGCAGAATGTCCGAATATATACTTTCAAAATGGCTCCTATGCTCCCGAACCAGAGTGCGTGGTAAGAACAATTAGACTAATGTCTTTCGATTAACCAAGACGAACACACTGCAATCGATGCTCGTTCATCAGGTCAGCAGTCCAACACAATACTTTTGGTATCGAACAACATTACTGATATCGAAGGATATCAATAGCCCGGAGGTATTCAATTGGAAGATTGCTCTGGCGCTGGTGATCGCTTGGATTCTCGTTTACATGTGCATGATCAAGGGAATCGCGTCTTCAGGGAAGGTATTCTTTTAAAGTATTCAATGCTGATCGCACGACATTTTTTAGACATTCCTCGAAGCATCTGTAACTTCGTTAATTTTACGGATTCGGGCAAATCCTTTTACTGGCACACTTTCGGGAATTTATACTTTCAGAATAGGCAACAAAAAGAACTTTTGAAAAGTCTAGGCTAAAATACCCCCTTAACCTTCGAAATCGTAAAACAACTTTATCAATTGAATTGTCCTTTATAGGTCGTGTATGTGACCGCCACATTTCCATACATCGTTCTGATCATTTTCTTCTTCCGCGGCGTCACATTGACGGGAATGTCGGATGGTCTACGCCATCTTTTTACTCCGAAGGTAATGCGTATCATCTTTTATTAGATGTACAAAAAATTGATATTCCATTTATGTTGTTATATTGCATAAAAGTGGATTAGAATTCAGAAATGGAATTTAAGAAAAAACAAAGAGGATTGCTGATTGGTACACTATAATCACTATTTCCATATCCTATTAAGTCATTGTTTCGAATTATTTTCTTCGATTTCAGAAATATAAATAACAATAAGCTATATTCCTACTGCTAAATAAATAAATTAAATTAAAAGAAGTAAAATATTTATAGAATATTAATTTAAGCTATTCTGTACTGATTGCAAAAGCCTCTGAGGCTCTTCTCCATTCTATCCTGATGAAGGTAAAATTGATGAAACAAATTTTTTTTCAGTGGTGGAAAATAGCGGATCCAGTGGTTTGGTTGGAAGCAGGCACGCAGATATTCTTCTCGCTTGGTCTCGCATTCGGCGGTCTAATTGCGTTTTCCTCTTACAATCCTGTGAACAATAACTGCTACCGGGACGCCATTATGGTTAGCATGACGAACTGTTTCACTTCGTTGTTCGCAGGGATCGTCGTGTTTTCGATCATTGGTAATTGTTTCTCCAATACTGAAATTTATAACAAGAATCGAACCGAAACATTTGAACGCCCTTTAAATATGTTTATTGTGTACGTAGGATTTAAAGCCACCATGGTATACGAGCAGTGCTTGTCAGAAAGGAACGCCACTCTCCTCAGCGTTTTCGGACATTTGAACAAAATACCAGATGAAATTCCAATCGCTGGCACACTTTTAAACATCACGACGGGAAACGGAACGTTGGATAATTTAATTATGCCCGAGCTACCCGAGTGTGATCTCGAAAAAGAATTGGATAATGTAAGTTATTTACTTCATGAGTTATTACAAATGATTCATCGGCTTTTAAAAAACTGTATTTCACAAAGTAGTACGCACAAAGTAGTGGATATTACGTGAAAATAAATAGAGATGGTCTAAGTTTTAAATGTCAATTTTTGAAGATTTATGTATTTTGACGAATTACGCTTTTCAACGAACGGGACCCCCGCAAATTTGATAGCCCTGGGCCACCCAAAATCTTAATCCGGACTTGGATAACATTAGTAGTTTTTTTTAGATACTTTGGTATTACAAAGTACCAACAGTATTCCAAATGTGCTGCACTTCCACTACTCAAATTTTTAACAAACATTTCACTCGAAATATTACAGTCAGCGTCCGGCACAGGTTTGGCATTTATTATTTTCACGGAAGCCATTAACCAGTTCCCCGGAGCACAATTCTGGTCCGTGTTATTCTTTCTTATGCTGTTCACTTTGGGCATTGACTCTCAATTTGGTACCCTGGAGGGTGTCGTCACAAGTATCGTGGACATGAAATTGTTTCCAAATTTGCGGAAAGAAATCCTCACGGGTCAGTAATATAATATTACAGAAGTGATTATTATAAATTATACAAAACAAATATATATAATTGTTATTTATAATTTAGGTGGCATTTGCTTGGTTTGCTGCGCTATATCAATGGCTTTCGCCCATGGTGCCGGTAGCTACGTCTTCGTATTATTCGACAATTTCAGCGGAAATTTTCCTCTGCTGATCATTGCCTTTTTCGAGTGTATCGCAGTGTCGTACGTGTATGGTTTGAAGAGGTGTGCAAATATAATTCTAATGTTGTACATACAATACAGGGTGGCTCAACTACACGGGATCACCTAAACATCTGTCTTATTTACTATTGAATGAAGAAACATCTCAGGACAAAGTTGAAAAAGAATTCTTTCCACCAGTACATGTGCTCCTTGAAATAAGTGAACTTTGTCCTGAGGTTTTCATTCAATAATTTATTCAATAATTTCATTTACTCCTAGATTCGCCGATGATATTGAACTGATGACTGGGAACCGTCCAGGCCTTTATTGGCTAATCTGTTGGAAATATCTTAGCCCCATGGCTATGTTAAGTATTCTAGTTGCCTCCATCGTGGAAATTATTGTTGACGGGAGTGGATATCCAGCTTGGATCGCTAGCAAAGGTATCACGGAGAGACACGAGTGGCCGACGTGGTCCATAGTGCTCATTGGTGTTCTCATCCTTGCCTCTGTTCTTTGGATTCCTGAATGATATGATATCTACGATTTTAAACGATTTGAAAGAAGGCTTAGAATTTATTCGGGAAGAAGGATTGTAGATAATGGCCATCTTGTGCACCGTCTTGAATGGAAAAATTCTTACATCCAACTCATATTAATTTTTCTTGATTTAGAATGTTTGGAATACTCATAATCGACGATAATGAGAAGGCTTGGTTCCCTGCTGCCGATTTAAAAGAGTTTCATGGGATTGTACCGCATGAAGTTACGCCGGCTGAAACTTTGTTGTTCTGCATAAGAAGCGATGGATCCGAGGGACTCTGTTGTCCGACCGGCGGTCCAAGTGAAGACGACGAGGACCTCACCTAGAAATGGTTATCATCGCCCATCTTGGAATAATATGTGCTTAAATGGTTCATAGACCGAGAAACGGCATTTCTTTTTTACCTAGTTTCCACATTTCTTTGAAAACAATTAAACGTTTCGAGTATACTCTAAATTGTAGTCGAGTGATACTCAGAGTAGACTTTTATTCACTCCTATAGAATGGCACAAGTATACATCGAGTCAATTAATCTGAAGTCGAGCTACATATAACTTGGTCTACGTGTATAGCGTAATCGTCGCCGAATTTTCGTTTAAGGACCTCTTCAACGAAGAACATGAAAGGCATTCGAACTGAAAAAGAAAGTGAAATAGAAAACACATCTAACCGCGTTTACTCTGCTGTTTTCGAAGTTTCTGAACCATTTGACGACGCGTAGACATGTCAATATTAATACAGACGATAGATCGTGGAACGGAGCCGTCGAACACTTCGTTTCCGGCGTATAGGTAATTTCCAATAAAAACGTGGAAGAATAAACAAAGCGGATAATAATAAAGTTGGAAACTGGAAGTTCTGTCCACGTGAAAATACTGAATTTGTATTTCGACATGAACTTGCGGTTTCTTCAATTATAAAAATATAGTATATACTATACATCTCAATATTAATCGATGTTATAACTTGCTGTTAATTCGGTGGTTGTTTGTACTTAATTTACGATCAAAACTGAAATTTGAACTGTAGTATCATAAAAATATTCAAGTATCACGAGATGCCAAATGTTTTATAAAAATTGAAGAAAACTGAACTACGCACGTAACTCGTCATCGATAACTGCATAAAATATTATTATAAATGAGAACGTGACTAGTGAACAGTAGTTGAAACAACAAAACTGTAATTATCGATGTAATTCACGAGATGTATCGTATATACAAATTACATATAAACTATTTAGCGCGTAATACACCATTTTAGCATTTGCAATACATATTCATAAAGGTCAACTTAATGCAGATCGCAGGTCATACAAAAAACCAAAGGGAACTAGGATAACGTTAAACATAGAAACCGAGACACTTTTGCGCTTAGCGATCGCAAATTACGTGAAATGTAAGATTAGAGTAGGAACCGTCCAATGGGCGTGATGTAAACGTTCTCGAATCGTTTATAACTTAATTTCCAGTGTTCTAAATTGCTAAGGTGTCGAGCAATGCGCCACTTCGCTGATTGATTCTTCTTAAGCTCACTGCTTTTCGTTGAATTTAGTACAAAGATCGTGCGTGAAATTTTTAACAAATGTATAAAACAACGGTCGATGCTTTTCCGATCGAGTCATATCGATAATTAGACATTTTACGTAAATCAATGACATGAACAGCCAGCTTTCAATGGAGCGAATACGCGCGACTCGTGCTAGAAATTATCAAGCCCTTGTACTTCACTGTGCGATTTTAATGATATCGATTACTTTATCAGAACTGTTACATATCTCACGTGTCGAATTGAAACGGTTTGGTTCCAATGACGACGGACCGAGAGAATTGATCAGCAAGATCGGTGGCAATGATCATCACCCTGCGAACGCACCATGTTTATGGTCGAAGGTATGGTTGAGACGAACGCATATCAAACACGATGTGTATATCAAATGCGTATGTTAATTTGCAATTTTAACGTGTGCCCTGCAACGGGCATTCTAATGTATAAGGACAATAAGAAATTTCATAAGACTCGAGATTGTGGAATCGTGCGACAATAATGCAATCAAATCGATTGAAATCAATTATTTGGAAATTCGACAATACGGGCGACGTTTGCACTGCACTTCTTGCACATTCACAGAGGCCTATAAAATCGTGGTGTCGGCGCGTCGAGTCGAAGGAATAGAAAATTTTCTTTCCATTACGTACTTCCTTAACTTTAATTCTGCAGCGTGTTTTTCACCTAGTAACAACATAACCGGTTAATGGAATTCGCTAAAAAAAATACAAGAGTTTTAACAAACATACCTAGGTAAAGCTAAATTAATAGCTTTTGGGATGTGCGAGTATTATTTTTATTTCACTATCAGATCTTAGTGAAGAATTTTGAAAGTTTGAGTACCTTCGGTTGACGCACTTACCTCCAGTAAGTGGCACACTATTGTCATAACGGTAACGAAAAATAACGTTCAATTAGTTATTGAAACTGTCGCGAAGTAATGGTTGTCCCATTATACATCTCTGATACGAGTCCTCTGTAGTTTAGGGATAATGTACTCGTATTCGATACATTGAGTTATATATGTAATATATTCATTTACCCGTTCTTTAAGTAACGTAGAATATCGTTCGGATGAACTTTATAAATCGGTCTAAAGATATAATCTAAAAATCGAAACCGACAATAAATGTTTATTATAATCAGCGAACAGATCTATTCCTTCGACAAAAGAATCATCTAGTATCGAGGACTAGAGCAGTAGCGAGATGCGCTGAAATCGCGTCTATTTGTACTTCGGATCTCTCTATTTTGTATGCGCGCTTTTGGGTATGGTCTTACCTCTTTCTAACAAATTGTTGATCACAAATCTGTTATACTTCGAACGGAATTCTAACTACGGCTTGGACGAGAAGAAGTCGAGCGCCAAAAGAAAAAGTAAAAAAAAAAAAAAAATCTTGTAATATCGGGTGGAAGATCTAAATTGGCAGTCTATCGGAATGTGAAAATTTATCCCTATCGTAGCTAACACATTCTTCTCGTTTACATTACACTGTCACCATAGACCGTTCTTTGTTTATCAAGAAGGTGCTAAAACTGTAATAACGTAAGAGTGATTTAATACGAAATGATAATACTATACTATATATACGTGTATATATAATATAATATAGTATATAGGGTGTTTCAACTAACTTGATCACCTCGAATAATGACTCAACGGTACACTTTATGAAAATTTTGAGGCATTGAAGTTAAATGGCATCAAGGGGCACATCTTATGAGGTACGTGCTTTTTTTGTGGGTGGAGGCATTTCAGAGATTTCAAGGTCACCTTGATTTTTTTTAACGGAATGACCTATTTTATGTACTGTAGATCGATAGAGTATCAAAATCTGAATAAAAATGTGTTGAACTTCATACGTCCTAAATCTAACAGTTAGGAGATATTTACTTAACTTCAACGCCTCAAAATTTTCATAAAGTGTACCATTGAGTCATTATTCGAGGTGATCAAGTTAGCTGAGACACCCTGTATAATACGCAGTCGTTAATGATAGTACACGTTAAAATCCTCTCATTGAATCGAACGATTGTCCCTGACGATAATTGTGTTGCTCCCGATCGGTTTGTGATTCACTTATTACTCAAATATTTGTGATTATTCCTGTAACTTAGATCAGTTGTAAATAATTGTTAAAGTGTCTTTTAAACTGTAAAACTGACAATAAACGCGGCACAAGAACTTGCCGCGCATGCGAAACATGAAGAAATCTCCCTAAAAAATGGATAGTACAAATCTTTTGTTTACTGTGGACGTGAGTTTCGTATGCGTCTAATTGCGAAACGCAAGAAAAAAAAAAAAGTATCGGACAATAAAACTCGAAGAAATTTCGCGTTCACTTGTATATCGATATCGTGCTCGAGCCTCGAATGGCTGCGTTATTGTGTACAGCGTTATGAAATTGTTCAATCGTTGTTGGTTTGTACGTATATTACCGTCTTCCTTGATACTTTCGCTCCTTGGACAGAGAATAATGCAACCGTTTGTACGGTGGACGTCGGGTCAGTTCTGACCCGTACACAAGCTTCCTTTACACGTGGTACAGCTTTGCACGAGAATTTCAATGTGTTTACGTAATTGTTGTTTATTCTCAATAAATCGTATAAATGTGTGATCGTTTTACACTTTTACTGGCAGGTTTGTTTCAAGAGTGATCCTTCACGGAGCCGAGACTCAAGAAGTCCGCAATTTTATATGGGTTGTCTCAGATCGGGTAATACAACCAGATAGGTGATTCTATAAGAAAAAAATAAGTCAAAAGTATGGACTACAATTTCTTCAGGTGACACTTCGTTTTCGAGATAATCGAACTTGAAAATTTGTTGGATACACGCGCAATAGAATAAGACTTTGCTAACGCATATGGACGTTCATTCCAGGCCATTTCTACTTATTACTAGCACGAATGCTCGCGTTTCAGATGAATGTTCAAACCCAATTCTCGCGAAAAATGAAAGCTCTCAAACAAAGAAATTTATTCTTTTTTTCTTCGACTTATTGTTTCTTTCCGAATCACATCCTGACCGGTTGTACTACCTCACCTTAAACATCCTGTATATAAAATGAACAGAAGTGGTGTCTATATGGTCCTGCTCTCGAATAACGTTACGTCATATCGGCGTCCGTAGGACGAATATAACGATAAAACGGAAAATGGAATATCGTTTTTAATACATAATAGAATTCTCAACGACTGGACTGTCTTGTTTCTGTTCCGTTGATTTCGATAAGTAACGTACGAGGTTGCGTATCCATCCATATTTAATGTGAAATTTTCAGCGTGAAACAAGAAGGTTGTGTATCCAAAGAGACATATGTAAAAGCGTGGGGCTGTAAAGTTAGTTTTCAAAGACGATTCATGTTACTTAAAGTTTCATTAACGATACATCGTACCAGATAGCCAGACCTCGATGTAGCTTACGCAATAAAATAAATAAGATACACAGGTGCGGACAGTAGCTACTGTTACAATTATTATATATATATATATATACATATAAAATAATGAGTATATATACAATTATATTACGTATACGTAAAACTGTACATATATATATTGTTGTCAGTTGAATGTTAAATAAATACCGTGCGTGAATATGGATGTGTACTTTGCATTGGTCTGTTTACGATTTAATGATCAAGCATTTATGTGGCTGCCTTAGATAATTTGAACAATATTCTGATCATAAGTCGAAAATACTATCGTATTAACACATCGGACCTAGAATACGTCAACGACATACGAAAACATGGAATCCATATGTTATAAATGCTAGGACTTGGCTTTTTAAAAATGGCGCGAGGTGTTTTTTCCTGGGCGATTATGAGGTAAGTATCGTAGGATTCAATTATTAGGTCCACCGGAAAGTTCTGTCATTCGACTTCTTCGCATAGAATTCGATATAGTAAATTTAGATGGGTTTTATTATAAGGTTACACTGTAGGTAGTAAAGTATAATTATTTAATTACATTTCTTACATTGTAACGTCCTACCACCACTGCGGAGGTCGACGCATTGCACGGTGTCTTTGCATTTATTGCATCACTCCGAACATTTAACATCATAACAATTATATCTTCTCACTTAATATTAATATTGAGAAAATATTAATTTTCTAATTTTTAAATTATCTAATATTTTCTAATATTTAGGTATTCAATACCTATTACTGGACGTCGCGGTAATATTGTATTATTGTATAATTTTCGTTAATTTTTAAGCGTAGTATCGTGTAATTCGGCCGCTCAATATCAGAAATATGAGGGTTGTAGCAAAGGTGATGAATAGTCACTTAAAAGAATGAAGTTATTGTCGCGATTGGAATAGAAAATTTTCCTACATGAAAAAATACAACAAATATAAAGATTAATGAAGCAACCAAGTCTAGATTACAGACGAAACTTTAATAGATAGGATATTTGAGTAATGTAAAGAAAAATAATTAAAATACTGTCAAGCCACCCAGAGATTATTATTATATGGAGTTAATTTTTTCCATTTGTTTTTATGACATGCTTAGACGTCAGTCTTTATCCTCTTGATTTTTTTCCAATGTCACAGTTGCCTCATTATTCGGTATTACATTAGATATCCGTCGGGCAAGAAGAACGAGATTTGTTAGTCGACTGAGCGTGACCACGTGCGAAGAAGCCAAAGAAACAAGTCTCAATAGAGCGCAATAAAGGGGCTCGCAGAACATAGATGTTTTCATTAATAGAACCCGAGTCCTGGTCCGCTACACTTTTATTATTCAAAACAAGGATATACTAATTGCGATCATCGTCGTGACATAATTTAGCATTAGAGTCCATATGTACTCTACAGTTAGTAGATTTGTGGGTGATGCAATAAACATTACCAGTGATGTAAGTGTTGGCGCTATGAGAATAGGACGCGGCAATATTATTCAGTATAAATTTCTAGGATAAACCGTAAACTATAGGTGAAAATGTTTCATCGCCCACTGCCTCTGTATAAAAATGTGTATAGTTACAGTGATAACAATGGCAGTGAAAACTTCACAATTAAACGATTGCAATTATGCCATTAAAAATTTTAATTTGCATGGACGGAAATTGCTTTCCTATATTGTATTATCTCTATAGGTACCGTATGACAAAATTGCTCGTATAAATCTATGAATCAACGTTCCAACAAAGAAGTGTAATGTTCAACTGCCTCGAACTATTAACACTTTGCGGTCCTCCGACAGTATTTACCCATATCGTAAGGTCCACGCACGACATACATATATCGCGATTATTTTTACGTTGCAACAACTCTCAATTGTCAGTACGGTTTGGTAACGTTGAATTATTAACATACACCTATATCTGTGATTCTGTGTATCCGATATCGTTAAAAATACCTATGCTTGATAAGCATAGATATACAATCACACACAATTAAGTACCTTGGCACAGGCTAGAACATTATGAAAAGAGACAAGGTATCAATGTCTTCGGGGTAATGTAAGATAATATTCAGAAAATATTGTCTTCTTAAAAATTTCTCTATAAAATAGTGTATTACACGGAAGAAAAATATTTAAATAATATTTAAAATTCACAATGTTTTATCATTAAAGAATTAAATATATCTACTTTTGCCTGCAATTAATTAAAAATGACTATTATTGCTAAAAAACTATTAATTTCATGACAAAATAAATTCAAGTCCTTCGATTTTAACAATTCCTTGTATAGTAGCATTTATATTAAACGAAAAGGACGTACCTGAATACGTAACATAGTTTCAATGTAGGTGAACTTGAGAGCTCTATAGCTTATTGTGGACCATGGACCGCAAGGTGTTTACATTAAGTTAAATTACTGACGATTTGCAAAATAGTTCAGTGTGTTTGCTTCACTTCCAACAATTGTGGATAATTTTCAACTATGTTCAATAAAATTCCGTCGATGTACGCCCTTAATTGTGTATTAACTTCTTGCTGTTCCTTTAAAGCTTGTTTCATCTGTAATAAACAATTTTTAATAATATCATGTTACACAATTTCATTAAATACAATAACGTCTTTTATAATTTAATACACACTTCGGATATACTACAAAGATCACCATAATTTCCAGGAATCTGACCATCCATCTGTAACAGAATTCAATACAAAATATAAATAATACTTCAAAATGAAAAATTATAACGAATTTAAAATAGTTGAGATGTGAAGCAGATTTAAAAATCAATGTAAATTCTTAGTATACAATTACAATAATAAAATTAATGCAATCATGAACAATGATAATATTACATGAAACATAGATGGCGTAAGAGACACTTGGCCTGTTACGAAATCAGTATTTTATGTTAAGTAGTACAAAGTTCCGTTATATACTAGATCTATCCCACACGTTAACCAATATAAAAGAATGAACGTAACATACTTGATCCTGATTGATGCCAGCTAATAATTCTACCGCGAGACTAGGTCCTTTTTCAGCATTACTGTTACAGGGATTTAACATTAAAAGTTCACGGCCTGCCTGCAGAGCCGCAGCTGCTTGCAATTCATCTCGTGATTCTTCCAGACCTAAGAAAAAATAAAACATTTTTCAGGCGTTCCCATAAATTGCTGAATTAAGCACAGTAACTGAATGACACTAATTACTTTTATTACGCGCTCGAAGTTGTGCCACCTGTTGTAATAATTCATCTATTCTTTGTTGATCTTCTACTCTCATCGAGAGTTCTTCTCTAGCATCTTCTAACTGATAGTGAGTTTCGTTAGCTCGGCTTATCGCTTGACGTTCACTTTCACGTGAAATATCCGCTTCTCTTCTGGACTCGTCGAGGTCATTCTCCAATCGACTTTTTTCTGCTCTAACCTTTTCCAATTGTTCACGCAACCTTCCTATTTCGTCCCTCAAACTGGACCCCTCTAATTCTATTGCTTGTAATTTTATGGCATAATTTTCTAACTGCAATTGTCGCTCGCGTTCCAAACGACTCGCCCATTCTCTGTGCCTCCGTTGCTCCGCCTAGAGCAATATTGTTTCCGATGTGAGTTATCATCACATAATAAAGCATTTTTCAGTTATGAAATATAGCAAAAATTTACGCAACCGTATAAATTTGTAAAAACAAAAAACGTTCATAAATTAAAGGTCCTTAAAGAATTAAAATTAAAATGGACTTACTTGAAGCCTTTCCTCGGCCCTAGCCTCAGCGTCTTTGGCAGCTTCCTCCAGCATTAATATTCTCGCCTGCAGCGTAGCATTTTCCTGCTTCGCTCTAGCATACCGTTCCTCCCCGACCGACTGAGTATCGACTAAAGCATGCATTTGTTCCTGGATCATTTGAACCTGAAAAAATTGTATATTTTTCAAATATTTTTACTTTCAATTTTTCTATTGTAAGGAGTTCCTGAATTAAATAATCGAACTACGGAAGACGCTTGTAGCGTGCAAACGAATCGATTTTAGTCATTTATTCAGAAACACGATTACTGTTAGTAACGTGGTATTAGGTACCGGAAAAAAGTTAGTGCGGGCTTATAGTATAAACTTCTATACGTGCTTCGTTTCTTCGTAATCGTCTGTTTATTTAGCAGCTACTTATTCACGCATGTTTATACATAATGTATACATGTATATGCACGCATACATATATGTACATATACCGTTTACGGATCGTTCGCGAGGTCATATGAATACATTTGAAATTTGGTTCAACGTACCGCACCGCTTACACTATTCCAATTAAAAGTATTCGTTTAATATTATCATACATCAGTTAATTAGATAAAATGATTTGAATACGCATGGATGTTTCTTGCAGGATCAACATGAAAGTACAAAGAAAAGGTATCGATGAACGTGTTAACGGATGCTTTCTGTTTCAAAACCTGTGCACGTCTATCTTCGCATTCCCAAAGGTTCACGCCCGTGGTACTCAACCACCGCAAGTGAAACATAATGTTTTCATAGTGTTAATATTACAATTATTTGTATGTTGAATTATACTTGACACTGTTTATAGCTCTTATGATATTCATAAGGTACAGCTGCAAATAATTCCATCTTATGCCTACTAGACCTTCGAGGAATTTCTAATTCGTACCAAATACTCAATGAGCACAACTCCCAACGACGGATAACCAAACACACATACACACGTAACGTGAATATGACTGTATACGACTGTAAACTTGTATTTAGGCTTTACATTAAAAACTTTGCATTGTTTTCTGTACATAAAACCATGACTAACATACGTAACATTATTAAGAATTAATCATTTAACGACAACCGAAATATTCATTACTTAGAGAAAAAGTGAATACTTCTTATTAAACAATTGCAATTTTACGATTCAGTTGTTCACTTTTTCGCGAATAAAAAACCGCTGTAAATAGTAGTTGCTCATTCTGGTATGTTAAAAATTGTGATACCGAAGTAATGGGGTCGTTGATAGTCAAATTAGTCAAGATATCAGTTCTTCAGAGTGAAAATACATTCTTGTAATAAAAATAAAGTAAAGTTGTCGAAGAACTACTTCCTCACAAACTTCGACGATTTTTTAATATGTTGTAGAAATAAACATTCTGAACAAGTTTTTCCTTTCACAAAAATGTCGGTCGGCCCTAGTTTCCGAGATACTCGTAAAAAAATTGTCGGTACCACTACTTTTTTGTTTTGGGTGCGTTGTTAACGCTGGTTGGTGTATGAGAAAATGTTAACCACAAATAAAAACTATGTATACACGTTCCCACCAGAATTCGAACCTGGCCCTTCCAAATAGTAGTCCACAACTCAATCGCCCGGACTATGGACAAAGTTGAGAACACCTCCTGTGTTTTTAGTAGGAGTTACCAATTTATTCAGCGCTATGTTTATAAACACATTCACAGTTTCGTTTAAAAAAATGCTTTTATTTGATCATAGAGATTCCTCGTAAGATTCAAACTTTATGTCATTCTAATTATGTACATTCGTTTCGCCTCGTTCCTTTTACGTTTCATCTTGTTCAGGACCGAGTCAGTTTGAAATCGTGACGTTATCGTTAAAAATAAATCGTCATCGCTTATAGATAAAGAGCTCAACGATCGGGCATTATTCTGTGTCTTACTTGATCGGCAAGTCGAGGACCACGCCGACGAGGTAGTCGACTGACGCGAGAAGACGTCGTTTGTCCGACAAATTGAAACTGGCCTTCCCATAGATCATACTCTAGGTCGACTCCAGGTCCAGGAGACGGCCCCTCCTCGGAAGTTATTCGATTGTCGTGATCGGAACGTTCAGTCGCGCTCGTGTCAGTCTGCTCGTCGTAAACGTTTGAATCCATTCTGTTTCGTGATCTGTCACGTCACGCCTGTGACAAGTAGAACCGTCATCTTTCTCTGATTAATCCAATGCTGAATATTAGTCCGTTAGAACAACGCGCGACGTGCAAACACGCCGGTTATGTTGCTTATCCATCACCTCATGCACGAGCGTGACACATACCACACACGCACACACACACACACACGGAGGAGGCACTGTGTCACCGACCTAACCTCGAAATTTCGTACGTCCCGACGTGCAACCGTAAAACACCGACGATCATACGCACAGATAATCCGAGGTGCACGAGGGGACAGAAGAAGAGAGAGAGTCACAACGCTACGCGCACTTCCGTTTCTTCGGGCGTACTTCGAACATAATCGTTCGTCCCAATCGCCCACTGTAAGCTGGGAGTAACCGCGAGGAGGCTATTTGTGCACTCCATACCGCGTATCGACTAACTCCGCGCGGCAAATTTACATATATCGCGGCACGTGTTATGCCGAACGAAGTCTGCCTCAGACACCCCCTACGCACATGCTTTGCGTAATCCAGTTAAAGAACACGGAAAGCTTCCCAGTTCTTTATTTTCTTGCTACAGCCAATTAATGAATTATGCTCCGATAAACCTTTTTCATCGATTTCCTTTTTACATTACGCGTTCCGTGACGAACGCGACGTGGTTACTTTTCGCTAATAAATATTTAGAAAATAATATTGCAGTTAAATTTTGACTTTGAGTAGATACACGCGTGTGCGTTCTGCTGCACTCATCGGTATATTACGACAAAGTGATATAATGTGTAGGTTACGCGATGCATTTAAATTGTATGACGGTAATGAAGCAACAGTTCACTTTTAATAAGTGGTACACACGTAATGCGATAATTCATATATACACCAGACGCTAATATACGCCCCCTGATATCAATTTGCAGCGTATGCTGTACGATGTTATTAAAAATACTTGTTGCGAGACATATCGTATAAATGTTGGTCACAAAATGTTGTTTAATATGTGCTTGTTTTAACTTGAATAAATCCGAAATTGTATCATTGATGCAGTAGTAACTACATGCAATTGGAAATGGACAAAATATTACATGAAAAACGATGAAAATAATAAATATTGTTTATTTTCTTAAACGTTATTTAACTTCAAAAAAAGAAGAAAAGTTGTATCGATGTTTGTTAAAAGTTGGAGAGAGAGAGAGAGAGAGAGAGCTGTTGAAGGAAAAATTCAGATTACGTACAACGAAATATATCTAATAAGATGGACCGTGAAGAAATACCGTGTAATGCGAAAATGTTTCGTACTATGCGCCGCCCCCTCCAGGTAGCCATTTCTTGTAGATATTGTATCCCAAATATGCGACCACACCAAGAACAATCAAGAAGTTAAGAAAGGGCCAACCTTTCCAACCGAGAAAACCATCGGCTGGTATTCTAGAGCATGTCATGCTTTATCTTCTGTTTTTCAAACGCTCATCACACACAATCTGTACACGAAAAATACTTAATTGCCGGTTTATTTTATATACATACACGAATAATTTTGATCTTTGACATGTTTATCACGACGTATGAATTTTTTTGAGGTTTCACCGTGATCGTATTTTATATCATGCTCGCTTTCATTTGTTTCGTGGACGTAAGAGATACAAAATGGGACAACATTGGTGGTAGAATAGAAGAAGAGAGCGAGAATAAGCATTATCGAGAAACCAAACATCCGTTTCACTTTTGTTATAGAATACGTTTCTTCCAATTTTAAGAGACTCTGTAAAGTAAAGTAAAAATCGCAAGACGCAGAAATTTATACAGTATTCGTTTGCACAATAAATTACTTTATTATGTTATAAAAATGCGTACGCCTAAAGACCATCTAAACGAAAATCACAATGTACAAACATTCTCACTGGGACTCTGTACGTGACATTTGAAATGAAATGTTTATTAGTCATGTATGTACAGTCAGTAATGATTCTTCGATATGCATTTTATCACACATCGGATCGACGAGTCTCAATTCTTCCGATTAAAAATTTCGAACGTGACATTTCTATCCTCTTCGTTGAAATTATTGTTGAATCTATAATGAACGTAACATTTTATGAGACACAGTATTTCACTACAAGGTACATATACAGAACGTTTCCAAGAATTTTGGTGTAGCTTCACGGGGTGAATTCATATAGAGGGTGTTTCATAACATTTGTACCAATTTCAGAGATGGGCAAAGGACATACAGACAATAGAAAAATTCCTATGAACGTCAGTCGCATTATTGTCTAATTTCAGTAATATTACTAATATTCAGTAACATTCAGCTGGTTAGTACCATAGGGAGTAGACAAAACTGCCCCTTCGGCCATAAAGCAAAATTGCAGTTGTATAATAAAATTGTTGAATTTTTCAACAATGTCTCAGAAAAGACATTATTAAAACTTCTGGATAAACGATATAGTAGAATCAATTCTATTGGCTCAATATATGATAAATCAATTTTTTCTTAAATCGTGGACATTTTGTGGTGTATCTTTCTCATCATCCTCTAGTGTACCCTAATGTATCACTACCCTTGCACCCATTCACCGTCGCTTTATGCAACGTCCTGTATACAACGTTTCAATGAAAGAATTATCCATATATACCATAATCCTCTGGCATCCGTTCGGTCGCTCGTAGTTACGATTTCATTCGAGTGCCATCGTAATTGGCGCTGTCCTTCACATTTATACTGTTTCGAATTTCGAAAATCCTCGAGTCTACGAACGTTCGCCGTTGATAACATTAATCCTTGTTCCGCAAACGAGCACAGATGTTCGATTAAGTCGCGGTCGAACGTGTGGTCGTTGCGTCGTACACATCGGTACCGACATTGATCCGTTTCTCCAACGAGACCTCTATGATACCCTCTTTCATGCTCCGAGACGGATCGCAGATCTCCTGATCGATCAACGACGAGGAAGTATCCTCGCATCCCTCGCACAAAACGTAGCCCCTGTCGCGACTCGCGTCCCGGAACACGACAAACTCAGCCGGATAATTCTGTTTCGCGTCCCTTTTGCTCGTCCTGGTCTACAGGTTCAAAAAGACGAGACACGGTGTTTTTAGGTGGTGGGCCACACACGCAGGATATGGTTACGGTCTAAAGTACTCTGTCCCCGCGATTATTGGCCTAGATATGAGAAACGTTCGTGGTGTTTATTTATCATCGTTACTGAACGAGACGCAGCTTTCGATAGTGTCGCGTAAAAATATGTGGATTTTTCATTATTATTTTTGTTTCACTCGCGACAGACAAGAAAGTGAAGTTTTAGTATCGAGAATAATACTGGGTCAGTATAAAGGTTTGACGGGTGGGTCTTCTGCGGATCATATAATCGTCATTGTAAAAGTCATTGTAAACTGTAAGATAATAAAAGAAAAAAACAGCCGATGGCCAAGAAAATTCAGGACCAAACAATCGTAGGTTTGGGGAAGAATAAGCAATGCCAGACTTCTCAAACTAAAAATGAAGATCTTTCCACCTTGAAATCACTCGCACCTGTTTACACTTCCCCGCGTTATATTCGCAAGCTGTTATTCAAGAACAATTGCAACGAACGATAACGACCGTCGCTGTTATCTCTCTTGTCCGCGGTGAATAGAGGAACAACGATTCTGAATAATGAACCACAATTACAGAACAATCAACCTCTGGGATGATTTACCTGCGGTGGTTGCGTCAAGATCGGCAGCCTAGCACTTAATCTTCGTCGTGATTCGCGAGATATGGATCGATAGAAGACAACGCTAATGACGCACATCGTCAGAAGGACCAGGAAGATAATGCCCAACCAGGACGAGCCTCCCCTCGATTCAGGGGGCGCGTCGTTGCAATACGGCGGTGAATAAAATCCGCCCGAATGATAGGATCCGTAGGGACCGTATGGGTTCAATGGCGGATACGGCGGCGGCAGTGGATAATATAGATACGGAGGAGGGTGTGCAGGGTGTTGCTGATGGAACCGAACGGCGTCTGCGTGGTCTTCGGTGGAGGAGGATCCCGAACGCGGTGGTGATCGACAGGGCGAACTGGCCGCACACATCTACGATACTAGCGATTTATGGATCACCCGTCTCTTTCCGAACATTGGAGAGCGAGACTCGCTCGTTGAATAAAGTGATACTTCTCCGTGTTCACGGAGATATAATTTGGCTCTCTGATCGGCTCGAACATTAGGTTAAGTGGCGGGTTTCAACGGATAATTTTGACTCGAGGAATGTTCAGAGAGTTGATCGGTATTCGCGTCGATATTAGGATCGATCTGTTAGGTTTGGGCATAGACGTATAATACCTAGACCGTGTGTTCTGAATATCTCCCAGGCCGGGGGGATTCACTTATGAATATGTAGTCTATACGTATATATGTATAAACTCTTTACTGTCTGTTTAATTTACTTAGAGAACAATGATGAAGACTGGATTCAATGCTCAAGCTGCCAAGAATAAGCTCACGAGGCTTATAAAATATGATTTTTTTTATTTGTCTAAGGAAAACCTAAAGTGTCCGCCACTGAGGGAACTTCCCCCACGTAAGAATTTTCCTTTTATTTAATTGTAAATATGGTGTTGCACAGCGAATGTACATTCCATGGACGTTTATCGTTATGATTAGTAATAGGAAATAGCAGAAATTCACTTACTCTATGATTGAGATCAATGACATCGTCCTCAAGGGAGACATCGCTGTACATATCGTCCGCGGGATCACAGTTGGAGCCCCTGCCCGAGCTATTAAAGCTGCTACTTCGATAGAGCTGGCTGTGGAAATCATAAAAATCGACAGTTAGCAACGCAATAGTATGCGCATCTAACTATTACACACCAGGGTTGAGGCAAAAGTTATTTCGAATAACGAATGACATTGATTTATTCGTTATTCTTTATTACTTCTCTTTGAAGCAACAAATTGGAAAAGAAAATTGTATTCATGAATCGGCCTGTAGTATATTCTGTAGGTACTCGTAAAAGCATAAAAGGAAACGGGATGTGGAAGTACATGTGCAGGCAGCGGATGCCCACGCTTTAGAAAGTTCGTGATCGTTTCGTGTTTCGTGAAAGGATCGGCACGAAAATTACCGATCGAATAAGGACACCCCGGGATCCCTTTCCATGAATCGCAGATTCTTCGTCGCTGAGTTACATCGCCTACTATTGTTAACCCGTGACGTAGTCAACGCGTCGACTTACGAATCGAGAGAGAAGTTTTCGATTTCTCGAATATGGTGACGCATTCGTTAAAAATACACGTATTAAACATTTGGTTGAATTGCAGAAAAGCTGCCTACCTGCCTATCTCGATAATTTTTAGATATCTTGTAAAACTCGAGGTTTTAAACTACTTTTTCCTATACATATAATGGAAGGAGTTACTTAGTTTCCGAAATATTCGCGAAAAACTGTTGGTACTAGCACATTGAATTCTTCCTATAGATGCGTTTATTGGCAACAGAGTAACGATTCATTCTTAGCAGAGTTATTAACTTGAATGGACGTTTAGTTTCATAGAATTGCAAATCAATTAGTATAATGCTTCAGAGTTGGTTAGACAGTTCAAGAAAAAAAAATAATTCAGAGTTGGTTAGAGACAGTTTTTTTTTCCTGTCTTACACGTTGCAAGTATGTACTGTTACTACTTATATTATAGTGAAACAAATGATGATTCATTCTTACCTTGCTAACGCATTGGTGCTAAATCTCTTCCGCCCGGAACTGAAAACAAAACATCATGACCGTGAATAGTGTGTTATTGCATAATAAAAGCTGTTTACGTTGAAAATTTTCCACGATATTCGCGACTTATTATTAAAATTACAATGTTTGAACGTTGTGTTTCGTGATCGAAAACTGGAATAGAAATTTTCTAATCACGAACAATGTAAAAAAACATACATATTAACTGAGTCATCTGTTTAGTAATATTTATTAGCGTTCAATACCAAAGATTCGTTTCGTTAGTTCAGTTTTTCTTATGTTTCTTGTCGAACATCGATTACTATCGATTACTATCAGTTACAACCTATAACTTGTAAACTCATTAATACTGACAGGTGGTAAATTATTGTGCAGCAAGGTCCAGATGTCCAAATACTTGTGGACAACAGTGTGGACGTTAACAAAAGGTACACGTCGCGCGTTCGTACCGGAAGAGTCGCTTCCCACCTGCCAAAGGCGTAAATGTCGCGACTGACGTCGAGCCAAATTTAAGTCCCTCCAAAGTGATACGAATAGACGAGGAAAATAGACGAAGGCCAAAATTCGTTGTACAATCGGAAGCCGAGCCAAGAAAAGAACATGGCCAGTTGCGAGAGACGATCGAATAACAAGATGAACATAATACTGACAATAAAACCTGGCGAAAAGTAACGAATCGATCGAGATAACATGATTACCAAATTGCAAAGCTTTTTTATGCAAAAATGTCATATTATAAAGTAATTTATAGAGACGGAAATTTATATTAAAAATAGTAGAATATAGAATGCCCCGCCAATAATAATACTGGCAACGCTTGTTTAGTCTTCAATATAGCCATCATCTTCTCCTATGCAAAGTCCAATTTAGTAGGAAAAATGATAAACTATAAATGATTGTGTATGTGTTTATAGTAGGTACTTCATAGCTAGTAAAACATATTGGCGTAAAGATTCTAATAAACCTTAATAACACTGATTTAATAATATTTGGTAATGAAATTGTTACCTCATTGTTTTAAAATTAAATAATAGAGGTGCACAGCTGTCAAGGGTTGTGAAGCAACGAAATAACAGCTGTTCTCGAGAAGTTGTTTGTTTATGGGAAGTGCTGCTATCGCGTGACAGCGAGTAACGCAACTACAGTTGGTCAACGTTAATTGTCTCTACGCGCTAAATATTATCAGATAAATACTCGCGACGCAATCGTCAATAGCAGAACGCGAAGTGTTTGTGTACGTGGTATCTACATAATATGTTCCTCGAGCAATCAGCTCGTAACGACTTCCTTTTGCATTGCACGGACACCGTGTTAGAAGTCTCCCGCCATCGGCGGGAATTTAACGAATGTCTTGTAGATAACCGGCAGATACCTTTCTTCGGGAATTAAACGGGTTCCTTATCTGCTCTGATCTATTAACGCGACTAGACGGCCGTAATTTATCAACCGGTACCACGGGAGCGATTCTCTTTTTTCGCGCGTGAACCATAGTCATTGTTTCGCGGGCATTGAAATCGCCGGAAACTCTCGGCACGGCAAACTGAACTTAAACTCGACGCATGCGCTTTCACGTTGGAACAACGAAACCTGTCAAAATGACAAATATGTAATTTCTTATTTTACAATTTACTGAAATCATAAATGTATTTCTGTCGGAATTTATGATGTTTAATTTATTGGGGTAAATTCAGGAGAAACGCCACATGGGTTACGACCCATTTACTGCCACCTACCGAATTACTGTTGTCCTAGACTGTTTTACTTAAAATAACAAATAAACGTTGTGAAGTTATAAAGAAAATTCTGCATACAATTAAAATTGTAATTCATACGACAGAAAGAGCAGCACTTAATTTCCTTTTTCCTTTAATTTTTGTAAAATGATCAAAAATTTGTAGTTGATTGGAAGAGTAAAAACGACGATTTTCTTACTAGCGAAACGGAAAACAAGGTACTGAAGAGAAAACTATAATTGTAATATTTTATAAATGTAATTTACAGTTTACGAACAAATCTGTGTCTTATTTTATATAGAAAGATTATCACTTACCACGGTGGTGTCCGCCTAAGCGAGGTCCGTAACCAAGAATGCCTTCCAATGGTAGAATTTGGACTTCTAGGATTTCTGTACAAAACAAAATCAACAAAAAGTCACAATTAGGAGATCCCAATAACTAAATAAAAATCACAATATTAAGAATTAATCATAGTAATAACTCTAATTAATCGATTCCAAACGTAAAGCGATTAATTAAGAACATATATAAATCACTACAGTGATTCTGTGATTCTTGATATTTTTGAAAATGAAAATTAAAAAGCATTTTATTTTCTGACCTCTATTCTTTTAAATGCAACTATTCATTTTTTATACAACATTTGATAAATCTTTTAATTCTCTACAAAAAGAATTGATTAAATATTTTACGATGATTTAAATGATCTTTATACTACGTACTATTTCTCTTGTCGAATAACTTCCAAATGATACAAAGAGAATAACGGCGATTGGATAAAAGCAATTTAAAAAATGCATTTAATTGCAATTTGTGCGTTAAACTTGGATTTCGAAAGTTTTCAAAGTTGATGACCATGCATACCAGGAAGCAGAAAATGAGCAGCGTGGTTTATTAAAAAAATGTCAGAGATTACAGTAATAATTCCGGAATGCACGGAAGGTAATAAGTCGCTCGGTTTTATTTTCTCTTTTGCGCGTGAAAGTTTTTCTACACCTCGTACTTATCAGCCTAGCGGAGCATTCATTTAATCGTGGGAATAGATCTGTTTCGAATAATATTAATATATAATGTGAGAAACGTGAAATGTGAGCAAGTCATTTTAAATTAGCTCATCAAATGACTTCTTCATTTCCGACATCACAAACAAAAAAATATATCGAAAGAAATGTAAAATATTATTAGACAAATACTTAATATTACGGTATTTATAATATTTAATGCCCATTTCCCTTTCAACGACCCGAAAAAAGGTGAAATTTAGGATTTTTTTTTGAAGAACGCAAAGAAGATGTGATGAAAAATGTAGTATAGTATGTAGATATGTAGAATAGTCCGAAATCAAAATTTTAAAAAAGAATACTGAATATTACTCCAACGTCTATCGTACACATCCTATCATGAAGTAAAAAACTAAAATGGCCACATTTGATGAGTTTTAACAAAGACATGCAACAAAAGGCGAAAATTGACTTTGACTCTCTTACCCTACGCCATTTCTTGAACTATGTTACAAATGACACGCTACAATCAGCCACAGCACGTAACGTATTATTACACCAAGTGACCTACTCCAATTTCATTTCAAACGAATCAATGTTTCTATTTCAATTAATCCTAAAAGGCGTTAGCATATTCTACGATAAAACAATTTATAGAAATTACAACGTTTTTTATATAGGTACTCATATTACATCCATTTTGAATGCCAATGTTTCATTTCATTTAAATATACATACTTTATTGTTACATTTTCCTTGTCTCAAGTTAGGTTGAGTTCGTCTTTGTAGATTACATTCTTCGAATTGATGACTAAACCAATTCAATTTAATAAGAGAACATAAATTGTTATAAATTAAATCAAAGATCAAGTAAGACGTATTTTTCTGTCCCAATCAAAGCGATGCAAATCGGTTAAATCATTGCCAAAGATTCCACCTTGTTCCATTTAACAGATATCTTACAAATGCATAAATTCTGAAATCTATTAAACCACAAACGAGATACACATCACGTTGTACTAGAGTCGCGTTTACCGATCAAGGCACCCTCTACAATTCACGCCGGAAGCTCGCAAGCCCGCCGCGAACTCGTAAATATTCGCGCGCGAAAACTCTTGCGTCCCTTTAAAACCGTTTCTGTATCGACACAGTTCCGCGAACAACCGATCGATATGCTAGACACGCGTATAGGAAATGCCAACGAACTTACCTCAGTGAATTGGTGCCGGTGGGTGATGGTGCAGAGCTGCTACCACCCGGTGAATCGACCCCGTCATCGGCGTCACCCTCGACGGACCCGAACGCCTCGTAGCTTTCCTCTTCGTCGTTGGTCCTTGTGGTCTTCGCGTTACACGAAGAAGACACGGATGCATCGGCGTGCTCGGGACTAGCGGAATAGTGCCCTGAGTCTTGGAGATTCGGGTTGACCAGGTTATGAAGATCGACCGACATAGAAAGCGAGGGCGGACCGTTTTCGCTCCATTCGATCGCGCCCGGTGCCCCGCCGTTCAGGACCCGAGTTCCACCCTCGTCCTCCGCGGTGAATGACTGCCGGCCACTCGGCGAGATGGCGTTACTATCACGGGCTACGTCACTGTCGGACACGACGACACGCGATGTAGCCACGCTGTTAGCGGGTGAGGAGGAGACATTTACGCCACTCGAACGGGAGCTTACCATCCTTCGTTATCGGCCAGATTGGAGCCTGAGAAAGCTCCGCCGAGTGATCAAGAGAGGGGGAACCGAGGGAGACGTTTCGAGCCCCGTTCGATCGAAATACCCTGCCGCCGCACCGGTAGAACCGGTCTTTACTGAAAAACGTTCTCTAATGATTCAGAGTTCAGAAACGCTGAAAAGAGGAAGATAGATAAGACGTGAGGAGGACCCGAGATACCACTCTTGGCCGCTATTTCGAGCGAATATAGACTGGATTCGGGGTGAATTTTGCTCAAACGAACAATCCAGACGTTCGGTGTAAAAACAGTATGTACCCTCACGAGTAAACTCGACATCCGCTAGGGGAAAAAGTGGCGTAAGAGGAAAGCCTTCTACCACTTGATAGATTTACTTCAAGTACCGAAATAAATGTTAAATTGAATATTAATTTGATATAAATTTCAATAATTCCCAATACCAAGTGGTAGGAGGACTTTTCCACGGTGGGGTACGTTTGTACTCCATTGTTTTATTGAAAAATATAAATAACATAACTTATATATGATTTTGCCGAAATATGAAAAATGCATTATAATTTTGGACGTCATATTAGCTTACGGGACAATATAGTATGTATATAACACAATACCCCCTTTATCGCTGCATTCATAATTCGGTGACAATGTTTATTGGCGGGTCGCCTATAACGGCTATAACCCGGTCATAGAGACCACAGTTAATTGTATCTGTCACGGGTCTAGCGTGCGAACACACGCATACAGACTTTTTGAATGATTTTTTACTCGTATAAAAACACATTACCCTGATTCTTCCCGTGTAAAATTACGTTACCCTGACAGCTATGGGTTACAATCTTTTGTGGGTGGATTTTAATGAATATGCAGCACTGCGCGGTCATAGTTAGAGAAAAGCGTGAGAAACGACTGCAGGAGTCATGGTACACTGAGTCAGACTTTAGCAATATGAGAAAACTCGAAGGAACTTTGTTACGTGCTATCTTCCTCGCGAGATATCGAAGTTGTTTTTTTTTAACACAAAACAAAATTCCAAGGTATGTTACTCATCCAGCCTAGCGCATAAAAGCATAAGACGAACAGAAACTGTCTCGCTCGGTATTCCGTGGTGTATTCCCCACGCTTATAAAAGAAATGTATGTCAGACACGGCTGTGACATACGCGTGGTATACCAGGAGGAACACTGAAGAATGACTGATCGAGGACAGTAAAACAAGAGCTATAACCATAATGTTACGGTGTGTGCACTGATCGTGAGTCATCTCTGTGTGACGTAGAGGATTCGCAAAAGTCGAAGATATTAATTGATGGTGGAAAATATTTTTATAATGTATTTATAGATAGAAAGTGTACTTAATTATTGTATATTTCAATTCTTGTCCTTACAGTGAAATTTATTAATACTAAACTTTTAAAGAAATCGAAAACGTATCTATACTGATTTAATAATATTCGTTCGCCTTCATCGACACCTTTCTTTATTTTCGAAAAAGAAAATGAGCGGGAAAATATTTTAAATTTAAAATATATTGCGTCTATTAAAAATATATCTTAGGAAATCGATTGATTTTCATATGCAGAGGGGAACCAGAGTGCGCCCTGTAAGTTCATAGATAGCGGATGAAGCCATATTAATTTGACAGCCGACGAAATAATCATGAAATGGAACAAGCTTTCGGTAAAAGTGTACTTTAATAATATTATCGTCAAACACCGTCGTTTGAAAGACAGCCAAAACTTTTTACTCGAAATAGTATCCTCCCACTAATCGACGCACTAAATTTGGAAGACCTGTTGCAGAGTGTGATATTCTTTTTCCGCCAAAGATATTCAACTTACATTGGTGGGAGATTCATGATCGACAACAACCAAATGTTCGTTATATTTACAATTTATTATCATTGGAATATTGAATGTATTTCATGAAAAACAATGTGGAATCAAATGTGTAATTAGTAGTTCAATTTATGTACAACATAAAATGTATAATATTTCTATTAACATATATAAATGTGTATTACAATGTGCACCGATTAGCGGTCCTACATAACCTATAGACGTTTCCCTTGTTATGTTGATAATGAAGATGTTTCGGGTGCACGTGCTATGGCCGATCAACCTCGCAACTATTTACGTATGCTACATAAGTAAGTATATCAACAGAAAAATATCTAACTTTATTATTTTTATTATGTTCCGAACGTTATATTATTCCTCGGTTGTACATTTGTAATTCATAATTACAATCACCAGGATGATTTCTTAGTTGAATGAAACTTCCTGCCACGTACGTTTCTTCACCTTTTTTTGGTATGTAAATGAACTCATGGATCGTAGTTTGAATACAAAGGTCTTTATTACCATTATTACGACTAGTTACGAGAATTACCCATAGGATAGACAGCGTTTCGGTTTCCAGGTACTTGTCACTCGGAACGGAATGCGTAGATGCGTTGCGAATCGCCAGAAGATTCCAGTACGCTATTTAGAGCAAGCTCGAAAGTGTGGACGAAGAATATGTTCAACGCTCAAGAGAGTACAACACCTTAACCTTAATTATGATAACACAAAAGAATACTAAACCCGTCATTAGACAGACCTTACGAAAGTAATGTCCCTTTACGAATTTACTTAACTCGGAAATACCTGTACCAATACGATTGAATTCAACGTTCGAATGTTTTGTAGTCTGGATACTTATTCTCTTCATAATATGTATATCGCATATACATATAATATTATTAAAAATAATGTCTCTTACATTCGCATAAAGAACTAGACGTAATGTAAATACTAAAATAAATATTACAAATTATTCACCGGTCGAACATTTTGTACAATACAGTCTGTTTATTAGTAAGGTACACCGAGCAACGAAAGTATACGATAGGAAATTCATAGTACCAGTATACATACATACAAAAATTATGCGAAAGGTTATATATTACAAATTATAAAAAAAAACTTATTACAACAAAATTGATATGAAAACTTATCGGTCGAATACTTTCGTCATTCATTGTATATTTAAAATGTATAACTGACTTCAAAAAAAAAGAACGCTATATATATATATATATATATATATATATATCTGGTTTAATAACATTCATGAAGAGAATATACTTTCTTTTCATTTCTTGTCAATAACTTTTCATAACATTTATAAAGCAATAGTTTCGCAGAGGAACATTGAGACGTTTCTAGCATTGCTGGCCGAACATTGACTCACCTTGAACCAAACGGATAGGTAATCCCGAAGAAATGCAACGAAATTGTGCTCGCCAATGTACGGGGACTAAGTTATTCCACTTCGAACAATCGGTCACAATAGAGTGAACGGATTAATCACGGCCACTCGGACACAAACGTATAGAGCGTGAAAAAAAAAATAGAAGAAATCCGAGGCAGATGCACCTTTCTAGCTGTCACCTAAAGTAAACACCTGTATACACCGGAGCTACGATCAGGTAGAGACGCGCACAGGAAACCATCACAATAAAGGGGTCCGTGTGTCGCGACGAACAGGTACGCCCGCAAAAAAGAATGGTTTTAGTCGATGCGACGGTGTCGGATGCGAGACAACGGATGCATGGACACGACCGTGCTGTGGCAATCGCGAGCAGACTAAACGAAAGCACAACCGAATCGTAACACGCGAAAACGAACGAAACGATCAGCCGAGAGGAGCTATGGCAGGTACGCATGCGCAACGAAACAGGAATGAACGATACGTTTACTACACCTACATACGAACACAACGAAACATCACGGTCGTACCCGCAGGTACGAGAAAGCACCAGTGTCTCTCAATCTACGGGAATATTAAGTTCTTAAACCGGTTGAAGAGTATTACAGTACGCCCTCTCCCGCTTGCAAGAAATTTGGCTTCTTTAGTTAGAAATCTGTATCCCCGCCATTTCGAAGAACCCCTCAGACCTCCAAGAGAGACAGACTCATCAGCCATGACTGCGAAGAATAAAATCTATGCATAGAGTTATATTCATAAATAGAAGATCAAATTTTTATATACTTTGTCCTTTCTTTACGAAACTATTCTCAACGTATTGTCGAAATTATTTCCGATGAAAATGAGACAACATCATATGTATGACCTTATTCAAATGGATTTTAATAACGCTTAATTGAGATTACTATAAAGCAATCGCACAATCTGTATAATTAAAAATGGTATCGATGAGGTCATATTTGTATCAATCTTTATAAGAAAAATACCAGTGATTCGTTGGTAAAGATTTCCTAACAATTTAATCAAGAATAATTCGGATAATTCACCTATACATACTCTTACAAATCCCGTTTACTCTCTTCATCGACCGGTTTTTGACTAAGGGATATCCAGTCAACGGTATTTCATTTCGCGTCGACCCTCGTAAGATAAGACACGACTCCTAAAAATTACGCGCATCTTGAGAGGCCGTACTGTACTTGTTTTTTTTTTTACATTTTCCGATCTACTGGCTTTTCATGCAATTTTTATACAGGAGCTTTCATTGATATTTTCAATGATTATTTCGACTTTCAGCCAATTCTGAAAAAACACGCACGGATAATATCTGTGTTAAAAATATTCAATTTTTTTTTACGTTCTCTTTTTTACTGTGTGGCAACACTCTCGGGAATTTTCTTGTAAACCTCTTTGTAAACCAGTTCCTGCATTTGCATCCTGAGCAACATTCTTCTATCGGCGGGCAATGTTCTTATATGGGGTAGGAGACTCATGAGGAAATAGTAATTATCATCAAAACGGTTGCCCTCCAAGGGGTCTACCGTGAGACCAATGCCAGTGTCATGGTCGCCCATCAACACTTGTTCAGGTGAGATGTTTTGCAACATCATTTCGTTTTCCGTCAGGTTGTCAGAAACACTTTGAAACTCGAGATTGTCGAAATTCTCTTCAGGCTCTTGTTTCACGTCTATGTGATTAACACTGTCGATTTTCAATCCGTTATCGCTATTAATCGACAGTAAATGACTTGAAATTGTACCTCGATCCTCCGCCTTTCTACTTGTTAACGATGATCCATTTTGCAGCAACACTCCATCGGTCTCACCCTCGCTGGTTATTCGATCATCGTCCTGACAAGAACCACTTCGTTCCCAAATTGGGGGACGGGGTAACATTTGCTCTTTTAAGAACTGTAAGCTTTTAAAATGGATCCATACCGGCCTATTTCGATGAAATTTACTTTTACGGTATACTCGATCCTTTTTCAATTCTGCTCGGAAAGTGTCTCGTAAACCTTTCCACTTTGCTTTTAATACTGGTTCTGGAAAAAATATGAAAATAGTTTGTTTAATTATAAAGATACAGCATGTATAATATTTCAGTAACTTTGTAATGTATCTTGTTATCCAATTGTTATGCTGTCTTTGAATCGCTTGAAAAATGTAAATACCAAAATAAAATTTTTTTTACAGTACATTACAAGACATTTATAGAATACTATTAAGAATGAATAAAAATAATTTATAAATTGACCGACAAATATCACAAAGGACGGAAGTCATCTGTACACGCGATAGTCGAAATTTATTGATTGTGCTCACGCGCATGCGTTTTTGCGTAAACACAACTTGTACTTGCAATTTAAATCTTCTCGTGGAGGAACACTGTAAATAGCAACAAATTGTGAGTTATCAACAGTTCATAAGATAAAATTTCGTATTGCTGTAATGGCCTTAGAATAAACTGCGCATGTAAGTTTGATTGAAGCATACCGCATTCGGTAAAATGACATGATGGAAAAGTGAGGTTATCTAGATTGCTATTTGCACCTGCGGATGCAGTAGTGTAGAGAATTTATGGTACCAAAAATAAGTACTGTTTACATTTGACTGAACTTTACATACCTTTTTTCGTTTAAGAACAGAAAAATATAGAAATGTTTACAATTAAGAAAAAAGCAATTTTGTACATGATTCATATTATAATACAATAAAAGTAGTGAACTAACATATAATGATCATATTAGACATCTTCCAAATAACAAAATATATTAGAGAAATGAAATAATTTTATTATAATAATGACAGTGACAGGTCATTTGTCCTTTGTTAGAAGTTATATAAAAAGTCTTGATCTTTTAATGAATCGTAAAAGTTCGCGCGAATGACATACATGACAAACGATTTCAGCAGTGCACCTACTAGGCAACTTGAATATCGATGCAATCTCCATCCAAACGCGGTTTGTCACTTCGCGATTGTGATAAGAGATATGCCTTTGGTTCCAAAGCGCTGGCCGCTTATAAACTTCGGCGATTAGCCGATTCGCGTCCATCTTCACCTCGTCTCTCATGTTTACCACTGAAACGAACCAGTGCTATATATATTTTTTGTAATAGTAACAAGACAAGAAACACTGTATTAGCTTGTCAATCCGATGGGAACAAAGTACGGGCGAATACTAGCGCTGGGATAGCGATTAGCGCGCAGGACGCTCTCGGGTAACGATCGATTCGCGTTTCGCCCTCATCTTGCCCTTGCTAGCGCGAACATTATCTTTCCTTTCAGAAAACAAGTGACGCACTATCTAGGTACCGATTCAGTTTTTTTTTTTAAAGAAAGTCGTAGCTAAAGGTAATAACGGCCCAAGTTACAATACATTATTTTTCTCTTTTGGGATTGTTTAAAATTTTTAATGATGAATTCTGTTTCCTGTAAAAAAAATATTTAATAATACTTCCCGAAAATATTTACCTGGAAAGAAAATAATCAAGAAAGGAAGAAATTGTACGCACGTTCAAATCTTGTAATAGCAATACAAAAAAGCTTGCATTTAACAATTTTTTTAAAAATCTTTCATAAATGTGGATGTTTTTAAATAAACAGGTACATATATTATGGCTATTACATATGTAAAATATCTAGATTCCAGATGTTAATCATGGACGGTTTCGAATTAATAGCTCAAGGTGCTGAAGCTCGTGTATACAAGGGTGTCTATTTGGGAAAGCTAACGTTAATAAAAGAACGATTCGAAAAGAAATATAGACACGTAGATTTAGATACCCGGTTAACAAAAGATCGAATAAGGGCTGAATGCCGCGCTATGGTTCGCGCAAAAGCCGCTGGTAAGACCTCATGTTACGATGTCGTTTCTTCTTGACTAAGTAAATTTGTTTTCCTTTTAAGGTGTTGTCACGCCAGCTGTATACTTTGTACAATTAGAACGTAGATGCATCTATATGGAGTACATAGAAAATGCGACAGTGTTAAAAGATTTTATAGAAAATAGTATTTCGAAAGGAGTAAACTCCGACCACTTGTCAAAATTAATAGCGCGAGGAGTGGGGATGCTCGTTGCTAGATTACATTCTAAAAATATTATTCACGGAGATTTAACCACGTCGAATATACTTTTAAAGCATGTCGGCGAGGAATTAAATATGGAAAAATACGACGGTACTCTAGCGTCATAATTCGATTATTCCCGATGTCTATTACCTGAACAACTAATGTTATTTTTACTTCACTTTTTTTGTAGGTACAAGTAACTTTGTCATAATAGATTTTGGATTAGCTCGCGTTGAGTCGAGCGTGGAAGATAAAGCAGTTGACTTATATGTTCTTGAACGATCACTGCTTAGCGCACATTCGGAAATACCGTCATTATTTTCAGAAATATTTAACATTTATCAGAAATATTATACACACAAACATCAATGCAAGGAGGTCATATCTAAATACAAGGAAGTACAAGCTCGAGGACGGAAGCGGTTAATGATCGGATGATCCATTATGTTTTTTATGAATGTATTAAATACATTTTATTAACATATTTTTGATAACTTATACATGTAAATATACTTAAGTAAATCTTTCTTTGGAAAAGCAGAGTGGTGTTATTAATTGCGGTTTTTTCCCTTCATATTATACCTGTTTAAATGCTAAAAATTTTATATACATGTAGAGGAATTTTTCTTTAAATTATTATATTCTGTGAAACTCGTAGAAAAGGCATTCTTTAGACAATACGTAAAATAAAAAATTACCGCTGAAACGCAGTCTACACAAAAGTATGTTAATACTTAAAATTTATTTTAAATATAACTGCCTTGTACTATTAAGACATCAATTGGAATTATTAACCACTTCTCGTTACACATTTCAATAGTGAAAAAACTATTGAGCATAAAAATTTCATCAATCACAAGCAAAATGTTACACCTGATAAAATATTGAGCAATTTGGTTGTTTAAAATGTTTATTTATATTAATTATCTATATACTGTATATAATCTGATTTGGCATATGTAACATGTAAACAGTTCTAGCAATAGTTTCCTGCATTCGTTTAATCATCCCATTATACCCAACAATATATGTGCAAAATAAAATACATCAAAGTTTGAAACACACCATAATAAATATTCCAAAAAAGGGTTATAATACCTATCAAACTGATAATTATAACTTATGTAGTAATATTTAACTACATATAGCAAATTATGGTAGTAAACATTTCACAAATTAAATATTATATTTTGTATTTATTAAATGCGCTGTAAATTTTAAGCGCAAATGATCCGTATGAAAAGTGATTCTTCACAAAATGTCAAATATATCATTTTCATGTATACTTAAAGTATTTGATCTATGAAAAATATCATATGCATTTATGTCTGTGTCAGTCAAGTCATCATTGACATATTACAGAAATTATCAGTCAAAATGCAGTCCTGTATATATAATAATCCAAGTAACCTATAAACAAGGAGGCTGTTGTGAAAGCTATAGGAAATTGAATGGTTGAATTCGAAAGTATGTATTAAGTAATTTTGAGTTACCAGAAACCCAGCAAATGATGTCATAAAACCTTCTTTAGTTAATTCCCATACACCACCGAATTCTTCTTCATCTATTTGTTGAAAGTTACTAAAGTACAGGTATGTGACACCTGCATTAACTAGTACAAATCTGAAATGTAAAACAGAAATTCTCAAGGTAATTATATATGGACAATGCATATAAACATATTTATTCATTTATAATACTTTCAATAGAAGGATAATTGAAACTTACAATAAGAGAGCTATGAAACCTTTTAAAGGTATAAGACCCCATCCTATACCAACTATAATTCCAATAGCTTGTCTAGCCCAGTATATAACATCAAGGAATTCTTCCTACGATAGTAAATACTAGATGAATCCATGAAAGTTAATGAAAAAGCACAATTAATTAAAAATGTGGTTATGTTTACTTTATCCGGCCATTCGGAGTTCGCTGTTATCGCACGTGTCCAAACGCTTAATTCACATTTACCACCGTTTCCGATCTTTTCAGATTTTGAACGCGACATTTCTATACCTCCTCAACTTAACAACATGAATTGTACAATAAAATTCATTAGCATTTCCTACAAAAAAGATACCATACACGTCCGATTCCTTTAAACCTACAGTATTTCGCTATTAGTTCTTCAGACTCTTGAATTATAGAAATGTGCCAGATTCTATACAATTTTTCACGCACGCGCACTAAATGTAACGTGACCAAACTTGACGTAATAACCAGTTTGTTACAAGTTTCGAACAAATTGCCAGCAATAAATGACAACAGTTGTCTAAAAAACCATAGCCATCTGTTTCCGCATTTGACTTGAGTTTTGCTGGCAACGCCAGCTGACAAAATGGTAAAGCAAATTGGCAGAAAGTCTTGTAACATGATCTATATCAAATTGAGGGCAAAACCGGATCAAGGCTTGCGCAAGCCAATTTGGTGCATACGTTGCTGCCAATTTGCTGCCAATGTGCACGCAAGGTGTTTATAGCAAATCTTGCATAAAACTTGTAGCCATAACTTGATAACAGACATTGGACAAATTTTGGCTTTGCATGTTTGGCTGACTGGGGTGTATTATGTATGTAATAGGAGCTTCATTTACTAGTGAATTATAGGTATTGCATGGTTAATAAGTCACGTACCGAAATCTGCTACAAACACTGATACGAGTCTGCATACATTTTAGTTAAGTAATATATTAGATGGAAATACATACATAGTAAAATCAATAGCAAATTTTGAAACGTGTAGAATTGTATAACATATGTATTATATACAACATATGTATAAATACAGGAATGTATTGAAGAAAGTCAGTAAATATATATATATTATATCACGCACTCAATGGTACATACACATTGCACTGCAGATACATTCAATATATTTACACACTAAAATATTGTCTATTACAGGTGATCTTTTCTAGTGTACAGAGTTATAATTAGTATTGAATTATTAAATAACATAGTAAAATTAGAATCTGTATGATAGAAAAGGACTGTATTTTAGAATATACAATCCTCAACTTATATGCTCACTGTTTCATAGGGTACAAGTTATATCAACCTTTTAAACTGGAATCTAATGAATATTTCTAAATATACAAAATAATCACATTTTTGGCACAATAGATTCAATTTTGACTTTTATATATAAAACTTCATATACTAATTTTTCATAAGCATATAATCAGCTTCTTTGTATCTCTCTACTGGTAAAAAAACCACCTGCAACATAACACGTATACAAACCATAATCTGTAAGTACTTATGGCAATGTACAAGTCCATACATGTTTACAAATATTATGTTTACTATTGAAATAATTAAATTATTAGTTTATAACCATTACTCTTAACATACAACCATTAAGTAACTTCCGGAATAACTACCTTCTGTAATATGGATTCATTTGTATAATATCAAAATTTTGTAAATTGATTTGTTAAAGCATATGAATCGACAAGAACTATATCAGTTTAATTTACATTCGTTTATAGGCTTAATATGGTTGGTTGCCTAAAGAAAGATAAATTTGAAGAGCAAATCTTTAGTTTAGTTGTTCAATGTCTGTGACATTCCTAAATTGAAATGTTAAGATCTATGTTCGAGAAAATCCGTATCTGACACAGTAAAGCTGTAATTGTATACTTCTTATAAGTTCTTGCGTAATATCAAAGAGAAAATAATTTCAATTTAACTTGTAATATCGTTATCGAGCACATGTGTCTACTTAGATATGTGTATACAAAAGAACATATATATATTTTGTCGTTACAGATGTTAGTACAAAGTAAAAACCGAATACATGTTCAAATACTTATCTGACTATATGAACTGTAATTGTAATCATAGCTAATTTACCTGTGTGTATTTTTTTATACATACGTATTTACATAGGTTTTTTGCTATCAAAAAACTATGTCTCAATAGATTTATATAAGATAGATTGTGTTACACTTATATTTCGCAATACTTTTTCATATAATACAAAAAAAACTCTTTATAAAAAAGCTGCTCCCTTTGAAAGAGAATACACATAGCAGAGAAACACATTAGTAAATTGCTTTAGTTGTGGTATATGTTTAACAAGGTATAAAATAGTAAATATAACTTACAAATGTTGCAAAGAAATTCTTAGAATATAGCAATATCCGATAACAGCTTTTTACTGATTATATCATACCTTTCTTTTACACATTGATGCTATTATGTATGTATGGTATATGTGTTCTATAATGTTTCCATATTTTATTATGAAATTCATATAAATCAGTGACTCTGTCACTGACAGTATTATACTTCCTATATATTTTATTTAAGTCTGTCCTTATTGTATGGAAAACAAAGACATTTGTTAATTTATGTAATAACATTATATGGCACACTGCAAACATTTTGTGATTCTTAGAGTTTGGCTTTGTGCATTTCTCAATTCCAATGATGAATGTTATGATTTTGGGAATAATCGTTAAAAATATTTTTCTTAATACGATATAATTTAATAAAACTGTGTGAAAACAGAATATAAAGAATTGTAAACAGTAACCAATATGGCTTAAATAAAAATGCATACTTTCATAATCACAGGTCCCTTACAGTTTGTATTAAAAAGTAAGTTAAAACATGTATTACAAAATTAAAAAGAATTTGTTTCGGAAGACATGTCAAGTTTGATTAAATAATTTAAACAAATCCTTCAGTTATTACAGTAAGTTATGCTAATCTGTACATAACAGAAGAGCAGTAACACATTTAAAATAATTAAAATCTTGTAAGTTATGGTCTATTTCAGACAGTCCATTACTTCGAACGTACAGATAAACAATACATAAATATTTAAATGTTAAAACAAACATAACATGATTCGTGATCCAAATAATATCGTCGCAAATATCAAACAGACCTTTCTCTAAGAATCTGAAGGAATGTAGAAGCAGAAAATATACTCTCTATGGAAGTGTAAATGTCCTTAACTTATTGGAGTGGAAATAATATATGATTTTTAGTACATTTAATAGAAATACCTACTACTAAATTAAGATAAGCTGCATTAGAAATGTAGTTTTATAAAAAAGAATTATAATTATATTTATAATGCCACCTTAATAATAGATTAGTACTTTCTATAGAGACTCCCAATACCCCGTCTCTAATGTTAGCACTTGCCTTGCATTTGACTTTATATGGCACAAATACAAACGCATTGCTTTGCATATTTTTGTGTCCAGTATAAAATATTGTGACAAAAGGTGTTTTCGTGTGTAACCAATCATTGTCATTGACTTTTGAATTGCTATAATATTAAGTCACAGTCAAACGTCAACTACATCGTTATTATTATAGTTAAAATTTGAATCACGTAAAAATGAAGTACGTCGAAGTTTATAATTCATTTGATTCTCTTCAACTGTTTTCGGCACTTCCGTTACCTAAAAGCATAATGAATTATTCTACACATATACGATTATATCCTAGAGAATCATTTGTTATTTTGTGGACAATTTTTCAACAATTTCTTCATGTGTTATGTCAACAACAGGTAACATTACTACCTCATATTAATAGGATTCAAGCGCAACAAAATATTTGGTAAGCTGTTACGAAATGTTTTGGGACCGAAAATTTAGAGATAATCTTTTTAATTTTTGAGAAATTGATAAAAAAAATTAAAAAAAAAAAGAAAATGTACCTTGGCATCTGGTTGATTGATAGAACGTTGAAGCACCGACCTCCATGCTGCAGGTGCGGTATGTTCTAAAATAGTATGTACAGCAAGGCATCTTAATTTAAGGGTTTAACATGCATTTTTGTAAATTAATTGGCATTACAAAGAAATTTATACTTAATTAAAAGTGATGCGTGAATTGGATGGTGTATACCAGGTTACTATAATATACAGAGCATGCAACAAAAAAATGAAACATACTTTTCCTTACCGTTTTCTTTCCTTTCTGGTTTACTTTTGTTTAAACTAGCTGCCAATTCCCTGACAGATCGCTTTTCTACACTTGTATTGCTTAAAGAACTAGCAGTACTACTTGCTGATAACGTTGGCGGCAATGAAGCAGGGCCACTTACGCCACTATCTGTGGATTCATCAAGAGCATCGCCAGAATCATCTATAACAACAAGATATACGATAATGCATAATATATTATCGCTATACAAATTTTCTACTTGTTTATAATTATAAATTACTCACTTTAAAGTTACTTGTATGCAATATAAAAAATTCTTAATGAATATTAGAAATACTGACTTTACATTTACTAAAACTCACCGGATTTTCTATCAGTGGCCATACTCCAAGGCCTTGGTTTTGGAGCTGTCGCAGGAGGAGTTAATTTAGTCTTTGAAAGAGCACCGTTACTTTTTCCATCGCTAGTGGAACTATTTCCTTTGGTTGAAGGTTTTAATACTGGAGACTTTGATGCCTCTGAATTATTCTTTGTACTACTGCCATTCGTTGGACTTCTAAGATCAAAACCTGTCGATCTTAGTTTAAGGGAAGGCAGTGGCTGGCTTGCAGACTTGTCTATTTCCACTGCAGATTTTTTCGTTAAACTTCTTCTGCTTTCGTAATCTTTAGGAACAGACGTTGCAAGAGATACATCCCTATCTGAAGAATTTCCAGCGGTTGTTAGTTGTAACATTTTACCGTTTTCATCGGAATCCCGCGAACTACGTGAATTTGTACCAGATCCAGTAATAGGTAATGTGCTACGTTTAGAAATGTCAGAACTACTGACAATACTATTACTACTTGTGCCGTTATTACTATCAGATTTCGCAAGAATTCTTTCGTGATTTTGAGCATTATCAGTCGTGTTTCGTCGAGCTAATGGGGATGCAGTTAATGGTGTATCACCTTGAGATCTTCTACCGACGAGAGGCGAAAACTTTTCCAAATTATCGCTAGACCGTGATCGTGGTGTAGGTTCAAGAAGTGTTTTTAACATTGGTGAACTGCAACCAGGTTTCTTATCCGTGTCAGGTGGAATACTTTTGTGGCTTGTGAGAGATAAATTTGGACTACCATCAGTTGGAAATGTATGTAAAGAGCTGCAATTTATTAAGAAAAACGATAAACCGATGGATACAATTTCTATTAAGATATGATTAGTTACGTCAACTTTAATATAATACCTATCGTCGCTTGTTGGAGATATAAGAGGAGTTGTTGGCGTAGTTGGTCGAAAAAATACATCAAGGCCCTCTCCAAGTGCAAGGCCATCCATTGGTTGGTCTGGTCTTAACATTGGTCTCGTAGGTGCTCTAGTTTTTGTTCTACGAGGTCTAGATTTCACTAAATGTTGTAATTGTTGACTCACAGTATTGGGTAATTCCGAAACAGAATCTAATGACTCGGTTAAAGAATGTTCTGTTTCTGAAATTGCTATAAATTCATTAATTACTTAGATGTTATGAATATATTGTATGAATATATGTATATTAAAATATGAACCTTCTGCCTGACTTTTTGGCAATGGAGGTAGTAGATCAGGAATGTCGTCAGCAGAAAGTCCTTCAACGGAATCAACTACAGACTTAGGTCTTAATTTTCTTCCGTGTAAACTTTTACGTTTATTTGATAGGTGTGGTGTAGCCTGGATATAAAAGTAACAGTTAATATTTACAATATATATAATTCTACTGTACCGTGGGGATATACATATACAATATATTGTAGACTCTTCAGAAATTAAAACAGCAAATGACATTTAACAACAGAATTTTAACTGTACTTACAAGATTTAAATAATCCAATTTCTAGACAGACATGAAAATATAATATTATAGCTAGTGTAATAACTATTATCGTTAATAACATAGATCTACTAACTTTATATAACAAGTTACGTTTACTCACCATTGGAGATTGATCACTAGAACACTGGCCAATGGAATTTATTAACGAATAAGTTTCAGGTGGACAATCTTCTTCTGATGCAAGACTTGTTCTACCAATGGCTAATGTTGTAGATACACCTACTGTGCTTGTAACACCTATAACACTTCCACTGCTCATTGAACCAGCACTAGGCCGCAGTACATCTGGCGTGCTACTTCTTGTTCTACTATCGCAATCGCCAATCTAACAATACCGAAACACAAATTAAAAAAATACCACTTCATTTACAAGGCTAGTTTTTGATACAATTTACACACCAAATTTTTGTAACTTCTTGATAACGACTCAATTACTTCATCTGTTATTCTATCAGACACATGAGCAGCAACAGCTAAATTTAATTCACTGTAAATAAAACAGTATAGGTAACGTAAATAAGATTCGTCAACAAAGAGTAAAACATTTATATTTAGAATTTTAGTAATTTCTAGTAAATCAATTTACGTTCTTACTTGACTCTATTGACTATATCTGCTCCAGCTTGTTCAGTAATAGTAGCATGTATAAATTCACTACTGATTTGGTTTTTCTCCTTGCAACTATTACGTAGGTCATCTTCCACGGCAATTGATTCACTTTCATCTCCTCTGATTACCGTCTGCTGAAGTATGGTAGGACATTGCTCATTTGCACATTTTACCATGGCATCTAACGAATCCTATATACGAATCCAAACATTAATTTGTTGTCACGTCTGAAGTATCAATACCAATTATTATTGTAGAGAAATTATGTAAAATATACACCTGTAAATACATAGTTACAACTTTATGAAGTTCATTTGCCATATCGTGTAATTTCAATTCAATTGGATTATTTTCATCCCGTCGTTGAAGAACTTCATGTAGTCTCGGTAAAAGCTGAAAAAATTATTTTCATTAGTTACATACTAAAGTTTTCATATACACTTTATTCCATTTTTACACGTTTTTGATTTAACACAGTCTAGAAAAAATTCTCTTCTTGTATGATTTGTCTCAATCTAACATGGTCTGATGAATTTGCCTTTTTTACTGGTTTTTATACTCTGGGGACCATTTTTTTTTGTTTTTTTTTTCATGAACACGGTATCTTTTTTTACACGGATTTTTTGAAACGTATCTATCGTGTAAAAGCTTTTAAGTGTAAACTCGTGTAAGAAGAATTAAAGTTTACTCATTTCCTTATACCTGCTTCGAATTATCTGCATCTTGTATAAGTCCAGTTGCATAATTAATATCGTTGTTTGCATCACAACTTTCCGCGGCAATGGCTTTAATAGTATCCTGAGTTTGTACAACAAGTCTATCAACCATTTGTTGCGTAGAACTTAATAAAAATCCTTGTTGTAGTCTAAAGGCCTGACCATGACTGTATTTACATGGTGTAACATTTCTTTGTAACAGATCTTGTATTTTTTTGGCTAATTGTTCAGTTTTCTCAGCAGACGTTTTCATGCACGGTTGCAGATCATAAATTGGGAATGGCATGTGTCTGACACTACAATTTCTATAACATAGTGTCCAATGTTACGAAATGTGTTGACGTATTTTAAATTACGGATACATAAAAATAAATACACATACTTTTCCAAAGCATGAACAATGTCTGCATAACCTTGAAGTGTAATGTTATTCTTATCGTAAATAATGGTCCTCAAATGATTGTTAATCTGCAGTGCTTTTGCTAATAATCTTGCACCAGGATCTCCAATTTGATTACCACTAATATCTAGAGTATGAAGACACGTATTACTACCAAGAGCATTAATAAGGTTGTAGAGATCAGACTTTAATCGAGAATCCGGTAAATGTAACGCTTGCAACACGCAATCGTCTTCTTGAAGCATTTGCACAAGGGCATCCATCACGATGGCAATATGTTTACTTTTCATACTAACAGTGTTACGACCCATGTATAATTGTTTAATAGATTTGTTTTTTCCGACAGCAGTTACTACTTGTGCTAAATCAACATCCATGTCTGTAAAGAAAACATTACTAGACCCTGTCGTATAGAAATTTCATGATAATCAATTTTCATTGTTCTAAATATACATACTGCTGTCTGAAATATCCAATGATGCTATGCATCGTACACCATGTATACATGACTCTAGCACATGAGCACCCATGGAACCCAAGTTGTTTCCACTCATGTCAAGTTCTAAACCAACTGTACTTTCATTGCATGCCAAGCCAAGTAACAAATGCTTTAACGCTTCTAGTGGCAATTTACAGCAAGATATATTTAAGTACTTCAGTGAAAGTGTAGCTGTGAAAAACTGTTTAAAGCTGGGAGGTATTTCTTTGGTCTTTTTGCTTGAAAAAGAGTTGCGAGCGACATTTAAATGGACTAGATTAGTTGCACAACCCCGTAGTAAAGCACCAAACAGCTGAATAAAATAAATGCAATATGTGTTGGTGATTATATGTTTCATTAGAATCTCGTATCTATGATGTTAAATACTTACACATTCTAATGTAGTATCTGTACCGCTTAGATCTAAATGAGTTAGGCTATTAGGTTGTGCCAAGAAATTGCACAAATTCTGTAATCAAATAATAAAATATGTTAGAAATTATTCAGTTTACTCTATTTAGAGTAACAACTTGTCACACGAAATTTTACAGTTTTATATAACAAACTTACATTAATGTCGTCTTTTAATGAGTTCTCGGAAAGATTCAAATATTGCAAACTTGTTGGCATACTCCTATTTAAACTTAATGCATGTGCAATTTGACTTATTCCCTTTCCTGTTAATCCGCAGTGTGCTAAATTTAATTTTTGTAAACCTTTAGGCAGCTTACCAATAGGTCCACTTAAATGTGCACCTCCTTAAAAATGGTATTATTATAAATTATGCTATTTATTAATGAAAAAATATATTAATCGGTTCAAGTCACATAAATAGTAACTCATGTACAATTATTTACATTAGTTCAAGCGTAACAGGAGAATACACAGTGGTAGTTTTTTATTATATGGAAATATAGCAGAATTCTAAATGAAAGAGTGAATGCTAGGTAATAATAAGTAACTTAAATAACAGACACTAATAATAGCTATTAGAAATAGTAATAGTTACGTGCACACCTTGCATTAACTTGGCAATTATACCACACAAGCTAGAGGCGCCTACAAAAATATAAAAAAAATTGTACAGAAATATGTTAAGTGTTTTATAAACACAAAAAAAAAAGTAAAATATTGGAGTATGGATCTACTAAAAGGAAATTGTTAATCTACTATGAAACAGTACACTTAAACATAAAAAATTATTACTATTAATATTTACCTTTATCTTCAATAGTATTATATGATAGATCAATAGTTTGCAATATTGTATTAGCGTTAGAGATTAAAGCTAATGATAACTTATGGGCAAAATCCCTGAAAACCGTGTGTTTATTAATATTTTTAAATTAGAACTATTTTTGTACTACGTTTTGATTTTTACCACTTAATTCCAAGATTATCTAAATATAGTTCTTGAATGGAAAGAGATCTGCGCATAACATGTAACAATCGTTCCAAAGGTTCGTGACTTAATTTCAAATGAGATGCTCTCAACTTTGTAAACCAAGTGTTATATTCCAAGGCAGAGATGATTGGCACCAAATCCTTCTGATCTAAATGATCAAAGTCTCTTAAATTTAATTCCCTTGTGTCGTGAGAGAGGTATATTGTATCAACGTCCTACAAATTGGGATGTCTTCTTCATTAAGAATTCTTAAAATACTAATACAATATTATGTTTTATGTATTTCAAAAGTGTTACCCAAGCAACTTCTTCTCTATATGGTACACCATGTAAATCACACATGCATGCATACTGGGTTGAAAACCCACCACAGGGACCTGTGTGTCTTGTTGCTTCTGTACTTCTAGCTAATTCGCTACCCCTTATACTTTGCAGTCTACTAGCTGGTATTACCTCTATTTTTCTTATAATATAACTGTGAAAAGCATATCAACATTAGTATTGGTATTTTTAAGGGTACAGAAATAACTTTAACAAAAATGCATAACAATAATACATTAACGTACTTTAAGGGTACCGTGGGAAAGATATTTCGAATTGCAGTATGTAAGGCCTCGATCATTGCATCTACTTCTGTAGTATCTGCACCTGCTCCTGTAGTAGTAAAATTGTAATACCTCTCTCCAACGGTTAAAGATAACTGGTTTGCTCTTTTGGATTCTATAGATGTTATTTCTAAATAATGGAAATGGCAGTCGAGCTACAATATTAATAAATAATCAATAAAATATTCATACAATCTCATCTATGCAAATGAAATAATAATTTGGTTTTACCCTTGTAGGTACTTTGGCCGTTAAAAGAAAAAGACGGCATGGTGAAAAAACCTGGAATCAGAAAAATATAATTTCATATTAAAATGCTGTTTGAACATTGTATTTTAATATATAACTTTTGTGACACAATTTTATTATTACTCACTAGAACACGATTTTCTTGTTTATCCTGCTTTGTTTCCAATTTCACAACGTTTTTTAATAATATCTTCACATGCTTACCAAGTAATGCTTTCACCGATTCTACAAAGAATATATAATTTATACAAACATGTATTCCATGTAGCACAATGTAAAGAATATACAATTAAGAGAAATGCTTATACAATTGTGTCATAACGCAACTGGCATATTTGCAAAGTAAACGGAATAATTATTACAGTTTTTTTAAATTTCATGAAGCAATGATTATTTAAAAGGATGAGTAATATATAAAGTCGATGTATGACAGTTCCACGATACGAACGTAAACATTCAAGATCAAGACAAACCATTTAAATCTTTCGTAAGTTGCGATCTGGTTGACATTTTGCTAGTTGGCTTATTCGTCAAACATAACCGGACCCATTCAAGACATTGTTTTTCGTGTCACCCAGTGACTGAACTTTTATAACTTTTCTAAAAAAATGTTAAGATAAAGGGCGATGTCACGAAACCATAAAGCAGAATAGCCGCCATATTAGCACCTGCCCGCGATCCATTCTGTTCCATTCCGGTCCGTTCCATTATTTCTAATAATTGTGCTATTTGTAATTTCTGGACAATATCAGTTTCACAGCGGCAATAAAATAGCGGATAAAATTGTAAGATAAAATTATTAATAGCTTACAGATAGTATTTTTTATCAAAATTCACTTACGGAATAACTCATTTTTTGAACTTTAAATAATACACATCAGATTGTATTTAATTACTATTTGAATATTATCGCATCGTAATTCCTTCTCATAAATATTTAAACTTACCATTGTATGAATATAAGAGAGAAACAAGCATATATGTATATTGAAGAAATACTTTTTCTAACAATATTCACGTAATGTCGAGAAAAATACAGATATTCGTCACATGCAATTGAAAACGTAAAGAATGTAATATCCCGACACTCTGAAGTCTATACATTTGAATCTAAAAAACTTATAAATGAACAGTATTTATTGTAATATATTTTATAAAATGTTTTAAAATACTGTTTCGTATTTATAACGTCTATATTTTATTTCCGCATCTTATCAATATTATTACCCGATAACTAGTTCTATGCAAATTTCGAGTTAATTGCCAGGAAATAATGACAAAATTTGTCTAAAAAACCATAGCCACCTGTTTCCGCATTTGACTTAGGATTTGCAGGGGATTTTTACGGGTTTGCTTGGGACTTGCGAATTAAGCAACAACTTTCAATGGTGGAGTCTGCCATTACGCGTTTAAAGGCATTCTGAATTCTGACTATTCTGAGGCATTCGGACGATTCAGACGATTCAGACTCATCAAGTGTTACTTGTACATTAATAACTGTGGTAAAAATACTGCAACCTTGTTTTAATGTGTGAATTATAATAAATTAAACGCTTTTTATACAATATAAAGTGTATTCATTATTGTAAATATACATATTTTTGTTTTGTTTTTATAGCAATATTAACTGTGTATTTAGTTGATCATGTTTCTAGTAAAAAGAATTTGTAACAGAATTCAAGTTCCACTAAGTAAAGCTTATGCAACAAATTTAAAACAAATTGAAGTTACACATGAAGAAAGTACAGGTGAATGTCCTAAGTATAATAATGATTATTACTTTTTTTTTTTATTTAATATTTTTATGCAATAGGCATTACCACAATATCTATGTCCCGTCAACCGGTAAATGGTTTGAACAAGGAATTATTGAATGCTTTAAATACATCTTTACTTGATGCACAAAAGAATCGTAGTACAGGTGTTATATTGACATCTTCATTACCATCTGTCTTCTCAGCTGGACTTGACATAATGGAAATGTATAATCGAACTGAAAGTCAAATGACTGAGTACTGGCAAACATTGCAGGATACTTGGTTGACTTTATATAGTTTGGAAATGCCAGTGGCTGCTGCTATTAATGTATTATTTCATATATTATTACTAACATAATTAGTATAATTATATAAATTGCAATTAGAACATAAAATGTGTAATAAAAAGAAATAGAGAAATTTTAAGAGTATATTCTACTCAAAGAATGACCATGCAAAATCATATAAACATGAGTTCAAGAATTTTTCTTTATTTAATTCATTAAAGAAATTTACCTTGCATCAATGTTTTTCAGACTGTTAAACACATTATAAAATTCCCTAAGTGTTTCAAATGTTAGCATTCAAAGAGATAAGTTTTTTGGACATTTGCACAATGCAAATAGAGGCATTGTAAATCAATCTGTAGGTATGCTCATAAAAAGTTCAGAATGCAGCAGATTGTCAATTATCAGTCCTGCTTATGGTTAAAAAATTTTATTGAATTTGTATGATTTTCTTCATTCTTCATATAAGTGGAATATACCCTTAAACTTAATCCAGCAATTTCTGTTCTATTCTGTTTATTATTATCTTCAAACAATTATGAATGATATAAGTTTACTTACAAAGGGTGCCAGTCCTGCTGGAGGATGCTTATTAGCACTTTCTTGTGAATATAGAGTGTTTGTTGAAGGCAACCATACCATAGGACTGAATGAAACACAATTAGGAATTCCAGTTCCTAAGTGGTTTAAAAATCTATACATTGATGTAATAGGATATCGAAAAGCTGAATTAGCATGTTTACGGTAATTTTTTATACATAAATAATGCAACCTTCTGTGTTAACAATGATACTGATGACTGATCTAAAAATATTAATTTAGAGGATCTCTATTCTCTCCCAAAGAAGCATTAAAACATGGACTTGTAGATGAATTGGTTGCTGGTAAAGCAGATGCAATTAGCAGGTGTCAAAACTATATAAAAGATTTTAAATACATATCTCGTAAGTTTATGACTCGTTATATTATTTAAAATGAAAGAAAGATAATATATTTACCTTTGAAATTATTGACACAGCCATAGGTCGAAGTAGAACAAAATTGTCATTAAGAGAATTGAATTTGCTTTGGATGAAAGACAATCGAAATATGGATCTTAATGATTTCTTATCATTTATTCAGTCACCGAAAGTGCAAGCTGGTCTTAAATTATACATTGAATCTTTGAAACGAAAATAAGAATTTTTTTTAAATGTTATATAATATATAAAGTCCACAGTATAATTATACACTTTTTAAAAACTAACTCATAGATTCATTATTTTTTATATGTATAAATATATAAATTGTTAAATATACATATATATGTTATTCAATAAGTAATATGTGAATGTAATTTTGTAATATTTTATACATCTCTTATATTACTTATGGTTAATAAAATTTATCATATTAATAAATTTCAGTATAGTTTAATCATCAAGGGCCTCAATCATTTCTGTGTCACTAATGTTTATATATAATTGTTCCAATAACTGTAATGAAGAAAATTCCTTTTGTTGAGAATCAGCAAAATGTGATATTTCTAGTATCTGTCGATTATTTCTCTCATTTTCATCTCTGTGAAATGGAAATATCTTTTACAGAACATTAAAAATAATTTAAATACATGTATATAAAAGTAAAGTATGAAACTTACTTAATTAATTGTTCAGTATATTCTTCAAGCCAACTTTTTAAACGATTTACTAGAACATCTTCTCTAGCATCTATTACCTGTAATTAAGAAATTATCTAATTTGTTCAATAATTTAAAAACTTGAAGAACCGTTCATACCCACTTGTAAATGCTTTTCATGAGAATTAGCAATATTAAAACTTAAAATATCTTTGTCTCCACACAAAGTTACCAAATGTTTTGGTATCTTTGAATCGTCCCCGAAACCACTAAGATAATATAAAACTAATCCGTTAATAGTGTCATTATATTCTGCCTCACGATTTCGTAACTGTGAAAAATAGCCTCGTGCATTTGTTAAGGAAAATTCTACCATATCAGATATGTTAATTCTGAATACTTCATTTATATCCTTTAAAATACGAATTAACAATTACTTTCATATTGCCTTTTTCATTGACTTTTTTTTTCAAAACATACTTGTACTTGTTCATGTAAATCCATTTCAAGAGACATTAAATTTGTCCAACCATCAGTAATCATATCGCTAAAATCGTCACTAAGTTGTTGTACTCTTTGAGTAGTTTCTTCAAGTATAGTATTATCTGCATCATCGCCTAACTTGTTTAGCATATGTTTAACAGTTTCTAATATTTCAGTTTTCCTTTTTATCATGTCACTTACAATCCTAAAATTTTTAATAATTTATCCTCACCCCATGCTTATTATGTATTATATTACTTACACTCTGCCCTGATCCTGTGATTCCTTTTTCCCCTTATTGACAGCAGTTGTGAAAAGGTTTATTTCATTTGTCCGTCTTTCATGATCTTTCAAACCTGTCTCACAAAACTCTTGACATAATACTGTAAAACTTTTTTCATATTCTTCATAAGCAGTTTGAGTATCTTCATTTACGGTAGTCAATTCTTTACCCTCTAAAGATGAAATTATTATGCATAATAGTTTCATAATATATCTTGTGCAAATGGAAAAAAAATAAAATTATTTATAATTTTAATCTATCATATATTAGCATCATATTTCCTGTACTACTTCATAATTTTTCTACCTTTATTTAATTGTTATGGATAAATAATAAATGTGTAAACCTTTATCGTCAGCGAACATTTGTTGAAAAAGGTAATCTCCATCCAAATGTTCCATGTATGCAGTTGTCAGAAAAGCTAATTTTTCTTCATATTTTTGCTGTGCATTCAGTTCTTCTTTTTCTTTAGCTTCTGTGTCTTCTAAAGTATTTAAGGACCTACTAAAGTGATAAAATAAGAATTTATATACAAAAAGGTATGAATACAATTTTTGTAAATAATTACTAATTTCATAATTACTAATGTTTTTCTATGGCTACTGTTCTTTCTTCGCTTGTTATCATTTTATATTGATAATAAAGTAACTGAGGTATAAATGCAAATACGTAATTTGAATATCCATCCTCATTAGCACAAGGGTTTTCACTCATATTTAAACTGCGGAGTTTCTTAAATTTTCGTAAATAAAGTACCTAAAACAATAAGTTTGTGAAACCATATATTATAAAGATTTATGTGTATATCAAAAATAGTTTTGTTATGTACATGTTCCCAATCTTCTATGAAATTATTACCAATACTAAAAATTGTAAGATTACATAAATTGTTTATGTTTTCTATTTTAGTGATCTCATTTTTGTACAGAAGCAATATCTCCAATTTTGTTAAACAATCCAAATTTTCCATTATTCTTATGTGATTAAAAGACAGATCTAACTCTTTTAAATTGATAAGAACATTTAAGTTTTCTATTTTTTCAATTATGTTATTAGATAACTTTAATTTTACAAGATTCGGCATCACCCAGAGATAATCGATTTTTGAAATATCTGAAAAATTAAGTAGGAAAATAAATTAATAGGAAATTAACATGTGGAATTGTATGTATGAATTATTCGTTTTATGTACTCAGAAATTCAATTCGAATTTTTTTTGTCTCCTCTAAATTAATTCCATCCTCAATAAAAAGTTTTCCAGCTTCTCCCTTTGGTCCTTGATCAATTATCAAGTTTATAAGCATACTTTGATTTATTACACGGGGTTGAACAAATTCTTGAAGAATAGTAGGTACATCTTCTTCAACGATCATGTTTAAATGTTTTGTATTGCACAATCAAATAAGGAAAAATATTAATGGATTTAAATTTGATGTTATGCGTCACGGAAATGATGCTTAAGTTTTCAATTCTAACTGGTTGCCGCGCAACGAAACTGTTCCGGTTCCATGTTTTTATAACTTGGTCACGCAATCATTATATTAAGCTCGCAGGACACGGTGCTTGTTTTCTTGCAGGATCGCTTGCTTGGAGCTGTGCATGCAATCATACTCATGCGCTTCATTACAAGATCATGTAGTCGTCTTCAAACATATTAAACGTTTATGTAACTATTATAATGTTGTTAGAACAAACGTCGAAACCGAACTCGGATTTGGTGAAGGATAAAATACAAGAACGGTATTTCAAATATTTTTTATTTTTGTAACGAATTATACATAGGTTTCAGGGAATTCGAATGTTACATCCCGACCAGTTAATTTTTTATACACAGCAGCAAAGGTATCAACCTGTAGACAAAAATTTGATATAAGAATAGATTTTCAGAATATACTAGGATAATATTTATTATTATCATAGTTACCTTATGCTCAATGTTTGTTTGTTCATTTTTGTCCAAATGAACTTTGATGAGCTGTGTACCATCCAGTTTAATTCTGATGCGTTTGCCAACAATTTCAACAGGATATACCAAGTCTTCGAGCAGTGCATCATATACTGCAGTCAAGGTACGGCTGAAGGAAGTGTTATGCATCATATATTTGTTGTTTACCTGCACCTTAGTATATATATTTGGAGGTAACAATATAGTGAGTCGGTAAACCTAATGAGGCCATAAACAAAAGCTCCATTAGTTACTACTTCACAATATAGATACCTCAAAATACAAAATTATGAAAATTACCTTCTTGGTCTCTTTTGCTTGTTCTTGGTGCGTGTCTTTCTCGTTGGTTTGGGTAAAATTTTACGCTCTCCAACAAACATTACATGTTTTCCAGAAAACTTTTTCTCTAATTCACGTACAAGTCGAGTTTGAATTTTCTGGAAAGCTTTCAGCTTTGGCATTGGTACATATATAATGATGCACTGCAACAAATGTTATTTTATGATATACTTACAATAACATAGTCATCATGAAATGGATTTTTCAAAAATTTTCAAATATAAATTTTATATTTTTTAAATAAAGAATCTAGTTAAACTGCTCAAGTAATAACATAGGTTGGTGAAAAATAAGTGATCATTTGAACATGTTGACACTTTAAGAATTATTATGATATTATATTAACACCTATTTCGTAAGACACTGTTTAAACTACTTTTTGGATCAGACATCATAATAAGTCTATATTTCAAATTAAATTAAAACATGTTGAGAAATTTGTAACTTATAAATACTTGACTGAATTTAATCTTTAATAAAATCTCAGGTGTAAATGTGAAATGTGTTGGTTTCATTTAATTGTTTTCATGGTATAATGAAGACTAGACTTTTTATAATTACAAGTTAAAACATTAGTTAAATATTGAACATTACCTTTTTGTTATTAGTTTCTATTTCGCGTGCTTTCGTGATGTACAGTTCTCTCAACTGCGACTTTAAATCACTGTTCATTTCTAGCTCCAAAAGAGCTTGCGAAATGCTGGCTTCGAACGCATCAGGTTCGGCGCCACCACTCTTTATTATTTTAGCGTTAGCAGTGAACATCTGAAAATGTTTAGAGGTTAAGCTATTGTTTATATGCATTTTACAAATTTAACACATTCTTCTGACTAATAATGCCTTTAACTATAACAAATCGTTTACATAAAGTATATATTATGCAGAAAACACAATTTTAAAACTGAACTTTGTAAATTACAATATGCTGTCAAATACTTCCGAGTAAATCGGAACAAACAAAATCCAAATTTATCAAATTTTGTATGCACGATCCACGAAAAACTCTTAATTCATTCAATAAATGGCAATGTTATAAGTAACATGCAAAGAACCGTTTAACGCCTTTTAACTCATTTTAACTTCGTTTTTAGCTAAAAACCAAATTCTTAAACGCGTGTACCTTGATGATATCCGCACCGCGTGAAAAAGACTTAGGAAGCGGTTAGGTAGAAATGCCAACCATTTGTAACACAAAATGTCTCTATATCATCTGTTTGTAATACCAGTTAATATTTAGTTAAAATCATTTTTTACGTTTTGTTTGATACTAAACTTTATTTAAAAATCATTTCTACATAAACTGTTATACTTTCTCTTTTACTGTCCGCATTTATCTATCATCAAGAGTTCTTTTCTCTTTTAATTGTATATTTTCAAGTTAATTATTTGTTGCAACAAAACTCTATAATAAATTATTACAAAGCTATTTGCAGTGAAATATACTTTAAATTTTATGACAACTATTTAAATTGTTTGCTATTTATTCACTTAGCCAAAAAACAATGTCAGCTGACTTGTCAATATTAACAATATATTATATAAACATTTATTATATTCACAATATTTTACGATTATCATTATTTTAACTGCAGTGCTCTGTAACATCTATAGTTTTGTAATATATATTGTACGATTTAAGTTTTTATAAGAATTTTATTTCTTGCAATTTTTTGGCAATATCGATCTAGTAATTTTAAGTGTACTATACAACCAGTGAAACAGACGCGGGATCATAGCATATATGTATAATAGACTGCGCGGTCTATAGATATATTATACATATCTGGAATTTTATTTCTAATACCTAATAAATTTACATTAATTTCATTTTCATTAAAAGTAATCAACTGAAAAGTAAACTGCAGCTGCAGAAATAACACAGCTATTGAAAAATGAAAAATGCATGAATGTATGTACCGAAATGCATAATAGTTGCATTTACATTGTACAAAAGAAAGGTATATATAAAACTAGGGACTATACTGTATGTGCATAACAATATATAAATGTTTTCATTAAACATGTTTTTATTTTACATTCCTTTACATGGAATATATATAAATATATACACAGTAGTATTTTGTAACAGAGAATTTCATATTTGAACCTTTTCAGGTATATATTCTGATGTTTTATCCAATTTTTTCTCTGTAGATCTATGACTGGCTGCTTCATACATAACTTTTTGAATAAGCCTGTGTTGTTTCCTTACCACATTCTCTTGATATGTACAATAAACAGCATAACTAAACGTTATCCCTGCGTAACATCCTACTGCTATACGTCCAGATTTTCGTGGTTGACTTGTGAACAAATATGCTATTAAGCCACAGAATATACCGCCAGAAATACCATATAACAAAGAGTCTCTTTGACATTGCGTTACAATGACAGGTATTCCAAATATTGTAATGCCCGGCGACGAAACTTTCTCTTTTTGTACCCTTTTTGCGATTTCTGCGACTTCTGACATATTTTTAACACTGATGTGCCAGTGTACTTCTTATTAAACTCACAGACTTAAAATGTAATTGATCCTTTAAAAACAATGTGGATTATATGTTACCTAATAACCCAAAATATGGTTAAAATGTAATCATCGAACAAAATACTAGTGAATATGGTGAATATTGGTGAATACCAAAGAGTATAGCAGAGTCACAGATTATTATAGATCTGCCACTCTTAAGAAAAAGGTTGGGCACGGATAAGCTTCAGTTACGTATCACATGCGACGTTTTGCGACAGAAACCATTGACATATATGTATGTACCCTCGAGAACTAAAAACCTGATCGAAGCATATAACTTTGGTCATTGTAATTTCTGTCGCCTAACCCTTTTATATTCTATTTTTGTTATTTTTAAAAATTTGGATATCAAGTAGAGATGGCGTGAACTGCTACTTGTGAATCACTCGTAATTCGATCACGTTCGTTCCCAATGACGATGATTTTTCACAGTGCTTCGTGATTTCCCGTGATCGTTTCTTATTGGTGGAGAAACCTAACAGTTCTTTACACGCGATACATAATTTGTATATTTCACATTAACGACATCAAAACAAAAATTAGGGTTATATCGTATAAAGTGAAGGAATAAGTAGAAACAATGAAGAATAATGAATAAATTAATGATTACAAATTATAATCTACATGTTACCTAGCAAATCATTTTTTTAGAATTTCTTGTTTTTTCTACTGATGTTTACAAACACGAATAGTAATGTAATTATCGTAAAATCATATTGAATACGTTTTTCTGTTGAAAGATCAAGGACTTACGATCGCAGTGAGCAAATTCACCCAAGATAGAAGTTTGTTAATAATTTATTGATTATTTCAGATGTTCAGTTTTGATGTTTAATTTATCGATCCTAAGTTTTGTAAATAATTTTATTAATAAATTTATCGTTGAGTTCAGCCGTGTGTACTTTTATTTATAAATCGTTGAAATTCTAATTGTACATCATACATCTCACACACACGGGGTCTCTTCAGCATGCTTCGGGGGCTCCGTGACCCCACATTCTCAGCCCACGCGATCAAAGGCGCCTCCACCGGGGCCTCCGTGCAGGGTCTATGCCGTCTCCACAGGGGCTCCGTGACCCCACGCTCTCATCGCGCAGGGTCTATGGCGCCTCCACCGGGGGCTCCGTGACCCCACGCTCTCACCGCGCAGGGTCTGTGGCGCCTCCACCGGGGGCTCCGTGACCCCACGCTCTAACCCCACGTGATCAATGGCGCCTCCACCGGGGGCTCCGTGACCCCACGCTCTCACCCCACGTGATCAATGGCGCCTCCACCGGGGCCTCCGCTTAGAAATTATCTAAGAAGTTACGAAGAATGAAAAAGTCTGTATCTAGCGAGGTTGAAAAAGTTTGTTCGTCTGATAAGTGAATGTACTTACATGCGCATTTTACATTGATTTAGCAGTTTACGAGAATACAAATATAAATTGGGATCGAATGGAAAGTTAAAAGATAATAAGATTTTACATGCTAAATTTTATTGTTATGCAGTTTATTAGGTGTTCCTGAATTCCATTAATTCCATATAGAATAAACTCTATTTACATGTAAACTTATATGATAATATAACACAAAGGAATCACAATAGATCTTTTCATGGAATTTAAAATTTCTAACTCCCTGGTGTAATTCTTCCTTTTTTTTTTAATCTTAGAAGGTGTAAAGTATTCTTTTCATACATACACCCTTTATACGCATCATACGAGTAATTAAGAGACTAGTACTAGCAAAGATTGCTCTGTTACGAGATATAATAGCGATCAAATACGTTGCCAATCATAAGCTTAACAAAGCGCCATCGCGTATTAAATGAAAAATGGAATTATTTTCACTAATTATAATTTATATACAATTCGTTACAAAATTTGCAATTATTACTTATACGCCTAATCTCTGACACTCCATTTCACTATCTGCGAAACAAAGGAAAAACTTTAAACTGCTACAATTTATCGTATTTACAAAGAGCTTTGAACATTATTTAGAACGGTAGTATAAATATCAAAATAAACTTTCAGTTGTGAAACATGTGTATGTACATTCAAACGTAATTCCACAAAGATCTTTTTTTTCAAATAATACTGAAATCAGAAAACAGAATTCATAAACAATAAATAAATTCTAAATCAACTGAACGCAAAACATATTAAAAAAATACGGAAACGTTTAATATTGCAAATGTATATCCCTCACCGTCGAGACAATTCTGCACCATTCAATGTCTCCCTCCACCATTAACTATTCTGAATCGCGTCTTCACCACAACACGAGGGAAATGAAACTCAATCGTAAGACATAAATTCCAAACGAAACGTGGATAATAACGAGAAAGCAAGGGAAAAGAAACTTAACAATCGAACGAAAAGTTTTTACAACAAAACGATAACAACGATCATAAAGACGAATCGAGTACAACGTTTTGGCTGGACTTGCTACGTGTTTCACGTAAGT